TTGGGAAATACTATTGCGCTTATTGAGCAAGTGACAGCTTTAATTCCGTGGATTCCAAACGAGAAAAGAGATTGGTACTGTAAATGCTTGATTTGAGCAGTATAAAATGAGAGTAGCTTTTGTTCGGATCGTTCCAACATTCATTAATATTACATCTATGGAGACCAACCAATGAAGCCCAATGTGCCCTCTAGGTGTCACTCATAAGTCCCAATCTTGGAGGGAAAGTAACACATGAACATAGTGCCTTCCAGGTTCCCGTTAGAAATGATCAGAACTAAATAGAAGTACTGTACGTCTATAGATGTTATGATTCTTGTAGCCTTTTCATGCTATATAAGTCTGGGAAAATGGTCAAGGGAGAATATTAAAGAAGTTATATAGATTCTTGACATTATGGTGTCCATTTTGGGGGCATATAATATTTTTGCTATCAATGAAGTACCGACTTCCTATAGGTAGTAATGAAGTATAGCGAAGCTCCTAGTGAAAAAGAAAAGTGACACAGATTATTTTTCTATCTTTTAGGTTATGTTGATAAAAAAACAGCGTAGAATGTGTCACTTTTCTTCACCTGGAGTTATCTTCTCCACTTGGAGAAAGGCGGCTGATGCACAGCGTTTCTGTTTCTGACATTCAAACGGTCAAACCCTAATCCGGATCAGAGTTCCGGTTATCAGCCTCCCGTCTAAAGAGCCTCCTCGTTCAAGTTCCCGAAACTGCTAGCCGGTACGGTACTTTGAAAATAGCAATGCGGCGGTGAGCCGGCGGGTCGGAACGATTCATGTGTGATCGGCATCTCAATTGGGATATGCTTAAGAAATAACAGAAGAAAATATAGGGCACAGGCGAAAAAAATGAGTTTACATAACTTTTTTTTTTGGTGATCAATGCGGTCATGTCAGCTGTCAAATCCGACAGCTCAGCTATCAAGATGGGTATCGCCAAATCATTTTCCTCTCACATTTTCGGTGACTACGCAATGTTATTACGAAACGCGTTCACAGCCCCCACGGAACGGTTCTATCAAATCGTCCAAGAAGACAACAGATTTTCAGAATGATTCTCACCGCCATTCCAAAGTTCAAAGGAAGGCAACCTAAAAATTCAATGAGCAAGAGAAAAATAATCGATTTTTCAGTCCCTTGTCTTAGAGATCACCTATGTTTCCAATAATCTTTACTTCTAATTTACCGGTATTGCCTTTTTTGGTAGCGAGAGATTCGTACCTCTCACTTTTTTCGGGAGTGGAAAGACTTTCCACTCCCGCGACGGAAAGGTAAATCACCCCGGCTTCACCCATTTGGGACACCCTTGCGAAGATCAATACGTGGGGCAAAGAGAAATATCTTTTTGCAACTCAAACTTTCAGTCTCAAAGACAACGACGATGGCTTTAAGGTTGTGTCCGTACCAGATGAAAACGTCAAAATTGGCGGCACGGCCAAAGCGTGAGTGGAGGGGCATTTGGCGGCGGCTGATCAGACATGAAGCGGTGGCACCACCGCAACATTGAGTTTTGGAACAAGCATTGGTTAAAAACAGAAAAGAAGCATTGAATAGCCTCTTGATTGTCAGTGCTTTCCTAGACTGACTTACGTTAATGCAATTGTATGGTGGTCATCTTTAAGAGTAGCTATTTCAGTTGTCTTCCATTATTAATAGCCATTTTGACTGTTTTGATTATCCTAGATAATTTGTGCGGTGAGACATGGTGCTCATTGACTGTGCTGCTTCGGTCTATGGCGAGACCGCCAGCTCACCTCGACTATTCACGTGGGCTGTTGACAGCGTTGAGAATCCGCCAAGGATGAGTTCTGCCTCCATAACTGCATACAGAACAAACTAGCGGAACCGCAAGAAGAGTAGCCCGAGGTATCCAGAAGGTTAATCATCGTTGTCCCAAAACTCGGTGAAGCACCAGATAGAAGCTTACGTTATATCCGTCTGTAAATTGTAAAGCCCTGCTCGTGACTATGACTCGAAGCGCAAGCCTGAGCTTGGAGACAGTGCCTTGATTCCAATAGCCGCTGACTGGAAACATTCATGTCCGCGAAAGATGGGTATTTGTTTTGAGCAGATTCAAAATCGTTAGGCACATCTTTGACCAGAGCAGCGACCCACACTCGTGCAAAACTCGTGCTATAGAAATAACCTAATATATGTACAAGCAACCCGACCGACTTGGTCTATCTCTTTAAAAAACAAGCTGGGATCATAGCGATGAATGGCAAGCTTTTTCTTATCAATAGAGTCTTTGTTACTCGAGTACTAGACAAGTATAAACAATACATGTGACGAACGTTTTGATGCCCAATCAACGTCCAAGAAGCCTACACCTCACTATATTGACAGGAATAAAGTACTGGAAAAGGGCAAAAAGTTAACAAGAAGTGATCGAGCATATAAATATCTGTTGTGTTTGAATTTAATAATAAGCATGCTTTGTAAAGTCCAAGCGCAATTTCCCGGGGCGTATCGTAGATATCTACTTCAGAGTATCTTCGCAATAGACTCTTTTGGCCGCAGGACATAAATAAAGCACGGTTAGACATGGAATGTGAATCGCCCGTATGGCACCAGTGATTCCTTATGTATTAGGTGCAACTACTACACTGTGCTTTGAGAAATGATCACCTAAATAGCACAGGAGGACTAGAGAGAAAACCCAAATTAACTACCAACTCCTAGTGATTTCTAGGATGGGGCAAGTTTATAAAAAGATTTGATATATTCCATGTTATGTTTGTCCTCGTGACTTTACCGAGTAACGTAAGTCTTGTACATATACTCGAGTAAACCAATCCTTTCGCCATGATGATGAACCAGAATCGCAAAGATAGAAATAACTGGTAGAGGAGTTGCCGCCCAAGCTTTTGCAGACGGAGTTATTGTATTTCGCAACAGACAAGAGAAGCGGGAGGTCCGCAAACTACTCCCTTGTTTTATCTTCGTAGCAGGTTTAAGACAACAGCGGAGATGTTTTTGGACAAATTGAAGCCGAATATTAGACTGTTTAGGATAATTCACCTAAATCTGTTGAAACAAACATTTTTGATGGACCTACAGCCTCTTCTCAAAAGTAGCAAGATGTTTCGCGAATTTAGAACCTGTAGAAAAAAGCAATTCACATACAAATACCTTGGCAAATGCCCTGTAATACAGTAGTAGATGACTCTTGTTTCTTGCTACTTTTGAGAAGGGCTGTATGAAGCAAAGTACGGGTAACGTTAGCTATTTCTTCTGCTTTATTCTGTGGCTCTTTTTCTTTCCATTTTTTGCGAAGAATGCGTAAACACAACACAAAGCAATACGGAGTACGATGAAGATATCCCACCAAACAAAAGAAAGAGGCAATCGTCATGTGAAAACCATACAACCATTGCCTTCGAAAGAGATCAACAACTTTGCGTCAGTTATATAGACGCGCCGATATTACCATCGCCGCCTGACGTCCATGTACGAAACCAGGTGGGGTTAAAATGAGTACAATGCATAATTTGCATGAATGATATACAATTTCGCCTCATTACGTTCATGCGTTCATCCCACGGTACCCTCAACTTTTGACACGACCATTTCCCCACAGCAATCGTTATCAGGACCTACGGTTCCTGCCGCTGAAAGGGACCAGGCCAGTCAATGGCTCGAGAATGTCTTCTTCTTTGCGGCACGAAGACCTTCCAGAAGGCCCATCATCGACATCCCTGACCGGCGACGGCTAAGCCAGCCCAACCTCTTGGTCGGAGACCAGGGTGCAATCTGGAAAGAGGGCCGCTTTTTGGTGATCGTTCTGAACTTTCAAACTCTGGATGGCAGGGATCTTCTTCAAAATTACCGTCGTTGGGGTCGCGGGTTGCTTCCCGGAGTGCTTAGCAAATTATTCGGGGCATCAAAGCCTCCACTGAAATATTGACTGCCGTGGCGAGGGCTGAGAGTTAATGGTTGATCGGCAAATGGTGGTGATGTGCGGAGATAGCAGCTTAGGATGCGATTTTGGAAGAATGAGGGTTTGAATTTGCGAGAAGTCAATGAGTGTTTCGGGAGCTTCATCTGATGTGCTACGAAGTGTAGTCCATCCTTCCCAAACCCAAAAAGAACCCCATAGTCCATGCTGGCCGGCTGCAAACTACTTCGTAATGATGCAAGAATCTCGAGTAGGCAAAGTCCCAAGGCGATTGTCTAGCAATGACAGGTCTGGCGTAATATCGACACATATTCCCTTCTACGCACGTCAAGATCCAAATCGAGCGATCCCACCACAAGCCCAGAACGTAAATCTGGGATAGGCACGAGATTATTTCCTTTACAAGTCTTGTAGAGCCTCAGGATCAACTTTCTAAATACCTATAATTATAAATACGGAGTATTATTGGGAAAGGGACTCGAGACAGCCACAAAACATGCTGAGAATAACGCCAAATGGGGATGTGCAGATTGACATTTCAACTTGACTCGAGCTGGTGTTAAAACTTTGCAAAAGCTTAAGCTTCCAACTTGGCTCCCGGAACCCAAAAATCTATATGGTTGGAGCTTTTGGATGGAAAATTTCAAGAACTGATCTGCTTGCTGGGACATTTCGGAAAGAGAGGTCTTCCACGAGTCACGGGCGGCCCCTAGCATGTTCTAGATGATCCAGTCTGTCGGGATAATTTGATTCGTCCCAAGTTCCACCCACTTCGCACCAAATGTCTGTACCCAGACGACAGTTGACAGTTCGAGATCCAGCGTCACTAGTAAAGTTTCCACTTTATTGGAATTAGGAGCCCACTTGCAAGTCCCAGCAATCGACGACCGGAACGAGTCCCGCCAGTAAGTTTAGGGACCATGATCCGGAAGCCGGACCATTCCACTTTTGGTAAGGCCGATGAAATGCCCAATGAGACCGCCGTTGGCCAAGGATAGTAATTGATCTTGCCTGTAAACGGTGTGAAGATCTAGCTAATCAATGAAAAATGCGACATCGACGGGAAGAGGCGAAGAAAGTCTGACAAGAGGAGACTATCCATCGACACGGACGCGATCTAAACGACGATGGCGTGTTGTCAAACCGTCTGACAGCATCAAATTCTGGACGATCTCTATCTCTTTACCATTACTTACCATTAATTCAACGTGGAAGTTGTTTCCTCTTGAAACGTGCGGCTTTTGCAACACGTTTTGGACGGCCGAGGTTACATTTGTCGTCTGTATGCGTCTCGTCCATTCGGGACTGTGCGACGTTGAGAGGTAACCAGATTTTCGTACCTGCATTGTTCCTGAGTCCATTCTGCAGGGGAAGAAAAGTACATATCTTCCCCGATTGGTTCGACCACCCATGGACCCGATAAGAAGGATTGAAATTCAGCCGGAAACATTCAAACATGAGAGTCAAAATTGATGAAGGATGGAGTCCGAGGAGTCGAGCACCCAGGCTTTCTCCGACCTTCTTTTTCTTCCATTGCGTCGTCTCGATTTGATAAGGCTGGAAAAAGAAATTCCGAGGCAGGATGGGATAGGCTAGGTAGCTTACCTTGGTAGATTACTGGTCGAAGGATTGTTCGATGTATGGCTGACAGGCAGGAGTAATAACGTATTCTTACGTGCAGCATGCCTAGTCTGTGTATGTATGTCGTTGCGAGGCACCCCAAAGAGGAATCCTTCGTATAATGATGAGATGACCGCCCGTTGGTGCTACTCGAGTCGTCTTTACCTTTTGCGAATCCGAGGTCACGTCGTTGCAGGCTTGGTCTTCGAAAAACTGCTTCTGGAAGTTGACCGATGGTTAGTTACAAGCATCTTCTGATATTGTTCTTGTCCTCTAGGTTTGTCGGAGCTTCGGACAAACAGCCCCGTCAGTGTTGAGGTGAAGTTGAGGCTTGAGCAGACGGAGCACAGAGCCCTTGCTTCCAACATCCAATATCCAAGATAATCGAAACACTCGGATTATGCAGGGTTATGCAGCCAATGTGCACAATTCTGCGGCCTCGAACGCTAGGCACCCGATGCTGCTTTAATTCCGAATGTTATGTTGACAACAGCCAGTGCCGTCCTGTAGTCGCTAAACATAGGTCGTAGTCGTACTAAAGGATGCATATCAAGCTTGCACCAGCCGGCCAATGAGTACTGCAAGATGCCACACCACGTTCATTTTAGTGACACCCACACCCTCACACGCTCCTTCAACCATCCTATCTGTAAAGTACTACTCTAGGCAAAAAAATATAAGACGGCGTGTACCAGGAACCCGCCAATGATTTCGACGAGTCTGTCTATTTTGCATCGACAGGCACCCAACATTGGTCGAACCGCCATGTTTCTCAACGGCGCGACCAGACGATTTGGGACATGACTGTGCATCGTAACTTGCTGACAATCTGCAGCTGATCCTTCCCGGCTGACTGAACACACAATATCCATCCTATCAAAACTCCCAGCAGGACGAGAGTTTGAGATTCCTATCGCTCGTATCATTCTAATCGATAAACGTCGATCCTTTCTTATCCTCTCCCCGACCAGGGGTCTTTCCTTGCTTTGGCTTCCGGGCTTTATTTCGAGAGTCAAACGCGCCGATCAAATATTAACCTTCAAGAACGTTGCCAAATAGATAGCCGCGTATGAATATCTTCATAGACGTGACACAATTTGCTGGAGGAAATATTATTTTTATCGTGTAATCCCCTTCGGCCTTCGGGTGGAACGGCGGTTTGTGACTCGTGAAGTTCAAGAATTGTCTAGCTGCAAGGATGGGGTTGGCGAACATTTCTATTCGCGGGGTGCTAGTCTCGCAACTTTGTTTTGCCCCAAAGAAGAAATAGAGGCCCGTGTGGATAAGTCTTGTTTGGTAGTTCATGTGTCTTGCTTGAAATGGACATGATAAAATCGGTTCCTGCAGCCAGCCAGCAGAATCCGAGTTCTGTACCTCGATGATCTCACTGAACATAACGTGGATATTCGTCCATCCCCGTAGCAGTTTCAAATTGTGACATTCGAGCATCTTTACCCGCTACGAACCTTTTAGTCCATATTCTGTCAAATGTTTCATGTTTCATGTTGCCCGGATGGAATAGTTGACGCCACATGGAAGAGCGGGGAAATTCCCAAATCGGAAGTTAAGTGAAAGAATCGGAAATAGTGCAGAGAACCCCACGACGAGTGAAAGGTTATCCAGGCCAATGGCAAATTCGAGTTGTAGGAAATAGAGACGAATATTTATGACCTGTAGTCCAGTAATAATCTAGGCAGGCTCCCGGCATGTCCTTGGGACTTTCGAGCAGCACTGCCTTGTTGGTGGCAGCTGGTGGAGATAGTCTTGGAGCTGCGGCATTACGTTTGAACTTGTGCTGTCCAGTAGGCGTCGTGGTACCCAAGTACGCTCTGTGAGTGGTGCAAAGTGTTTCGTATTTTTTCCATGCTAGACGTCGTCATATCGAATGAGAATTCAGAGGTGCAGAATAATTCTTCTTTCGGGCTTTTCTCCTCTACATGGCCAAGAAAGGCGTGCTTTTGTTGCCTTTGCATGACGCCGGTCAGTCCTCAGACTTTTTTATCAATTGGTGATACTGGTAGGCTGTGCGATTCTCAGATCAACGACGAGAGTGGTGGGTTAAGTAACCAAAAAAGCTGGGAAGTGGCACGTCTTCAGCGCTTGAGCCTGTGTTATTGATCTATGGTTGCGGCTGAGAGTTGTCTGTCATTCTTGGAAGGTCATATTCCTATCAGAGCCGAAAATACGGTGATGGCTCTGGAGATGGGAAGCATGCGGGGATGGGATTTGCCACCAGAAGAGTTGGTGTTGTCTCGCGCAACCGCAAGCCAACGCAATACCAGGACAATATAATATCTCACGGTGTTGAGTGGTGAGGTGGAGTGATGCTGAGATACATGGTAACTCGTGGTCAGCATGTGAGAGGGAGGGGGATGCGCGCGGGTGCAGGTTAGTGTCAGTGTCGTATGGGAGGATTGTGGACGTGGATGAGGATAAAATTGTGAACACGAGCATTATTGGTAGTGGTGGACGAGCTTATGCATGCACAATCCGCGCCTCTCCTGGCCCCAATCATGCATCGCGAGGGCGAATCCACCTGCAGAAGCCTCGCCGCTTTGATTGTATTTGTGAGGGAACCTCTGCAATCAGAGATGGCTGCGTTGTGCTGCTCTACCGCCCACCATACACACACACACGCAGCAGCCAGCACTGAACCCGAGCGGTCCAACCATCTGCGCTTGTCCCACAGCTGTGGTATGGGATACAGATCCACCCAAATTGTTTTCTATCGAATCCTCAATCCTCAACTCACAATTTTTTCCTCCAGAAGAAAGCTGTAGGAGGATACTAGAAGTAGATACTCCACCGAATGTGTTTCCTACATAGTCCACGAATTTAGGTAGTATACGATGGCAGAGGAAAGGAGTAGCTGACAGCTCTCGCTTAGCTCATTCGCCTCAAAGCGAGCCGTATTACTTGTAGTAGCGTCCAACACCGTACACGGCCCCCGAGCGAGCATCTCTATTGACAGCGGTGCTGGAATTAGAAAAAAAATGGCATCCACCCATCCCATCATGCTGCCGGCCGGCTCCCCAGACCAGGATCTCCCAGGCCTTCAACCATTCAACCAGCAGCCGGGCCCACCCCGTTTACCACACCATGCTCGTCTTGCCCATGCTCATGCTGACCCATGTTCCCCATTCATACTCTCCACCCACCCATTCAACTACCCATGCCGTTCATGTCCAGCCCATGTTCCTCCAATTCTCCTCCGCCGCCTGAGACCTTCTCCACCTGTCTCTGCCCTGACAGCAGCCAGTCCAGCAGCCATCCACAGGCCTGACCTTCCCGGAAGTGCCTATCTTCGCCTTCTATCGCTGGCCCGCTCGTGGATCGCTCCGTGGCTACTTTATTTCCAGGGCCCCCGTCACCATCACTTTCGTTTGCTCGTCCCCTCAGGTTTATGCTCTCATAACGCCAATCCATTCCTCTTATTATACCATCGCCGGTTTCTTTTTTGTACACTCATTCTTTTGGATCAATCTCGACTTGTGCTTTCTCATATAGCCTCTGGATTTTCTTCCGTACCTTCCTTTGGAATCCCACTGCCATCGCTGTGTCTTGTCTCCTCGAAACGAACGAAAAGAGTCGATAGCTGCCAAAAGAACGAACCACTCGAACATCGATTTCGAACTCGAATTCCCACGAACGAATGTATAATAATCTCAAACCGTATAACTATTAGACAGTATTGGAAACCCCAAGCTGTTGTCCAGTCACTCCCGTTGACACATCGAGCATCTTGAACGTTTACCACTTGTAAACCACACCTTTGTTTTACGAACCGTATATTAATCAGCGCTCTCGAACCACTTGGATCGACTGTAACTGTACGTATATAGCTGCTTCCACCTGCCCGGCGCACCAGAAGGAATACAGAATGGGCAGAGGAGAAGAAGAAGAAGAATGTGACTGACACTTTGCAGTCAACGCAGCCGTATCAACCAAGAAACATCCGCCATGGATTCCTCTGCCTATCAGCAGGGCCCAGTAATGGGACAATCGCCATTTTTCTATTACAATCCAGACCCCAAACCAGACAACCGTCAACATGGACATTTCTCTCAGCAACCTAGTAACGTTCAGGTTCCTGTATATCACCCACACGTCCACCCCATGCCCTCGACAGCAATCTATTCCCGACCAAATTCGTCTTGTTCTCAGCCGCCTATGCACCCGCAGATGTTCAATTCCGGATTTGCGGGAACCTTGACGCCAATGGCCTCCCCTCGTCCGATGTACCAGAAGCCTACGATTCTCATCCAAGAACACGCCCCAAGGATGCGAATGGAAACCGACATGCACGATGCGGACATGTACTTTTATCCATCCACCCCACCATTGTCGGCATCAAATAGCACATCAAGCAGCCCATCCAGCTACGAAGCCATTCCATTGCCCATGAACAACATCTTTCTCGGGCTCGGTGGCTTCGAGGGTGTCAAGGAAGGATGCGAGGGCGAGGTGCAGTCGGACACATTGGCTGGAGGGGAATGGTCCAGATGTGGATCGCCCCCAATGACTCCTGGTATGTAATATTTTCTCTCATTTCGTGTAATGAGGCTGGCAATCAATTGCACACGGCCGGTTGGGCGGAGGATAATGTGGTTGAGTCGAGCGTCGTCAGGATCGTCAGGGTCGTAACTGCAAACGGGGACTAACGAGCCACTTTTTTCCAGTGTTCATCCACCCCAACTCGCTTACCAGCAACGGGCAGGGCCACGCTAGCGAGCTCCTGTCTGCAACATCGTGCCCTTCACTCTCGCCCTCCCCTTCCCCCTACCCGCGATCCGTCATTTCTGAACAGGACTTTGACTTCTGCGACCCGCGCAATCTGACTGTTGCATCCGGTGCATCTGCCTCGCCGGCAGCTTCGAACTTGACCAGCACCGCGGCTGAATTTCCTGCTCTGCCGACATTGTGCGCGGGAGACGACGAGGAGCACCGCTTCATGCTCGCAGGGGAGACATTCAATAAAGCTGCCCACGCCCACGCGAAGAACTTCACATTCACTGCCCCACACCACGGCCTTCCCTCATTTGACCAATTCTCCGATCTCGACTCCGAGGAAGATTTTGTCAACGGCCTTGTCAACTTCCCCACCACGGACAACGTGCAATTCTACGGCAACAAACGCCAGCGCACTGGCACTAGCACCGGCTCTGATTTACTCTCTCTAGATCCCGAGCCATTTGTGAGCGAGGACGAACTTGAAGACTTCGAGCAGTTTGACGACGCGGAGCAGTTCGCCGTTGCTTGTCTGCCTAGCCCACCCGCCTCTGGCTCCGAGACTGAAGTCAAGAAGGAGAAGCGCACCAAGAAGCCCAAGAAGGCCCGCCGCAACGAAGAGGACGACTCCACTGAATTCGATAACCTTGTCCGCTCCCGCAAGTACACCGTTCCCATGAATTCCGCCTCGGGAGAATCTGTCCAGGAGGGCACCTCTGAGGGCCACCAACACCACTCGGTCGCCAACAGCCAATCTGGTTCTTCAGAGCACCACGCCTCCAATAGTGTTATGGGCTCTGATTCTGGCACTCCACATGCAGCACCAGTCAACCGCCGCGGCCGCAAGCAGTCTCTCACTGAAGATCCATCCAAGACTTTTGTCTGTGACAAGTGCAATCGTCGATTCCGCCGCCAAGAACACCTCAAGCGCCATTATCGCTCCCTCCACACTGAGGACAAGCCATTCGAGTGCCACGAATGCGGCAAGAAGTTCTCTCGCAGTGACAACTTGACCCAGCATGCTCGTACCCATGGAAGCGGTGCCATTGTTATGGGTGTCTTGGAGGATGGCGAACTTGCACCTGACCACCCAAACTCTAATAGTGAGGACGAACACATCCAGAACTTGGGAAGTGTTCTCTTCAATGTAGCCCAGGCAGCCTCTGGCAGTGAGACCGACGACTCAGCCAGTGACAGCCAGTCTCGCAAGAAGCGCAAGCGCTCTGAATAAGTGCTTCTCTGCTTTGCTACACACTCGGTGTGCCCGACTACAGCATGTCACGCCTCCACCGATACGATTCACGACATTAAAAAAATTCCTTGCGTACCTATGGTTGGGTTCTGGGGATAAACAGGTCTCGCGATCAACTCACGCTATCACGACGGACGGGATAGAAGGTTGCGCAAATCAAAAAAGTCATTTCCGTGTTTTCTTCAATTCCCTGTATCAATTTTCATTGAACATTTTCTGCCCGATTTAGCGTCACGATGGAGCTAGTGGTTGTGTGTATTCTGATGCGATGCTATTTGCTATTCTTACGATCGTTGTAATTCTTTGAAGCGGGAGCTGGTCAACCGTTGCATCATCTCGATTCCCATTCGCAGCCTGCTCATATCTTGTGCTGGCACGAAATGTACACCAGATAGTCACAATACATGTATAGAAAATCTGCCCATTGCGTCTCCAGTTTTGTTCAATGTGATACTTGGTTGAATCAACGTACTTGAACCAGGGCCTACCAAACGCCGTTTTGTCGAGTAGATAACACTGGGTAGATAGATATATTTCCTCATCCTTTTAGGGCCCTGTCATATGGGAAAGCAAACTCTCTGGCCTGAGGCATACAGGCTTCATCCCTTTTCCCCCTCCCCTCACGTGCCCCTCTGCCGAGTCCCCTATCCTCGCAGAAGACTGGCCTAGCAACTCAACATAAAACCAACAGCATACGAAGGGGCAACACACAGATGAACTGAAAGTAAATGCCTAACTTGCAATATTGTTGCTCTTTGGCGTCAGAGGCGAAGTACCCTTGATGCATTCGGCATGTCCGACCCATCTCTCAAAGTCATCGCACTGATATCAGGCGGCAAAGACAGTTTCTTTTCCCTGCTGCACTGTCTTCATCATGGGCACCAAGTCATTGCTTTAGCCAATCTTTATCCAGCTCTTTCAGCCTCGAAAGAAAATGTTGGTGCTGGTACCACCCAGGGCCAGGCAGACGCCAACGAGGAGCATGACCTGAACAGCTTCATGTACCAGACGGTTGGCCATACGGTCATTCCATTGTACGAGCAAGCTCTGGGCATTCCCTTGTATCGTCAGCCTATCGTTGGGACGGCCGTCCAGAGTGGTGCTAGTTACCATCATGTTGCGTCTGTGGAGGAGGATGAGACAGAATCGTTGGTGCCACTCTTGAAGAGGATACTGCAAGATCATCCAACCGCCAATGCAGTTAGCACTGGAGCTATTCTATCTACCTACCAAAGGACACGAGTTGAGTCCGCCGCTCTGCGACTAGGTCTTACCCCACTTGGCTTTCTGTGGAAGTATCCCATTCTCCCTCCTGGTACACAGGCGTCCCTGCTGGAGGATATGCAAGCCGTCAGCCTTGATGCTAGGATTATCAAGGTTGCAAGTGGTGGGCTTGATGACAGTTTTCTTTGGAACAATGTTGCGAGTTTGTCAGACAGGATGCGAATTGAGAGAGCCATAAAGAGATTTGGTTCCGATGGAGATGGTGCAGTATTGGGAGAAGGGGGAGAATTCGAGACTCTGGTGATCGATGGACCACCGAGTCTCTTCAAAGGCAGGATAGAAATCTCCGATGACAACCGGGTCATTGTACGAGAAGGAGGAGGTGCAGCCTGGCTCCAAATATCAGAGGCTAAGGTCATTATGAAAGACCGTGTTGATAGTTCAGCAACGATACCTCGAATACCAGATCTGCTTGATTCAAAATTCCGCACAATCCTTGAATCTCTCGATGGTGGCCATGAATCAATTGACACCCATTCAGGATCAAGTGGAGAAAATCCTAAGAAGCCAATGTCAAGAGTAGATCCCGACATCTTATATTGGACTGTCTCCCCCAATCAAAGCACGACAGTACTTTCAGTTTCTGATCAGACCAGCGACGTGGTTCTACAAGTACAACGCCTTCTGGAACAGAACAACCTCACAGCAATATCAATAACATGCACCACTATTCTCCTCCGCTCTATGAACGATTTTGCCACGATCAACCAAGTCTATAGCAAGCTCTTCAGCGCACCCAACCCGCCATCTCGTGTCACAATCTCGGTTGGCGATCTCCTTCCAAAAGACACTGACTTGATCATCCACCTTCAAATCGCATCTTCCTCATCCCCAGCTACTCCACGGAAAGCCCTACATGTCCAATCCCGCTCTTACTGGGCACCTGCGAACATAGGCCCCTATTCACAAGCCATCTCCATCCCCTTATCGCAAGACAACGATTGCCCACAGAGAGCAGTATCGATAGCCGGGCAAATCCCCCTAATACCAGGGACCATGCTTCTCCCCTCTCCAATCGAGAACCCCATCCAAGATTTCGCCCTGCAAACCACCCTCTCACTCCAAAACCTCCAACGCGTAGGCCTAGAAATAGACGTCCAATACTTCACCTCAGCAATAGCCTACATCCCCATCTCCACCCCCCTCCCACACAACCTCCTCCCCCAAATCCCCGCAAAAGCATGGTCTCTCCTCCACCAAGCACCCAGCGACTCCGACTCCGACGATGAAACAGCGCAGGAAGTCGACCTCTGGGAATCAAAACACTACTCAGGCCTAGCCCACCACGGAGCCATCTCCTCCGAAAGACTCCTCCCCGATTTCTCGATCCTCTCTTCGTTATCTTCCTCAAACACCATACCGCCGCTTTTCATAGCGATGGTCGAGGAACTCCCCAGACAGGCGGGCATAGAATGGCATGCTCATACAGGGATCTCGGGTGGGACGGTGACGTTCCATTCTACGATTCAGAGGGCTGGGTTTGTGATTTATCAGTGTTCGTTTAGTGGCCGGTTGCGGGGTATTGTTAGTGTGTTCCTTCCTCAAGGAGGTGTGATGGTGGATGAGAAGGTAGGTGAGGCGATGAGGGAGTTGGGGTTTGAACGTGGTGAGAAGGAGGCGTATACGAGTTACTATGATATGTCTGTGACAGGGGGAAGGGAAGGGAAGAAGTTAGAGGGGGTTATACCATGCTCGAGACTTTGGGATGGAGAAGGGAGGAGATTGGGAGCTGTTTTGATGTTTGACACTTTGATGGATGGGAATTGAGTATGCTGGGAACGATGATCTCTTCTACAATATTCCGGTCTCCTCGAGAGGCAAACCCATTTTCCATTTCATATCCACAAATGCTATGCTACCAGGGTATTCAAGTAAACAAAGAGCCACCCAAATTCCGATCCTAGCGAAAAGATGCCCGTTTGAAAATGCATTCGCACAAATATCCCACCCATTTTTACGCTCATCTCAAACTTCTCTCCGCAGGCGGTCCATCAACCCCAACCGCATTGACATCAAGCTCCTCCTCTCCTACCTCTCCTACCTCTCCAGTATCTACAATCGCTTTCCCCCTTTCATTTCCCGTCTCCTCACCATCATCACCTTCTAGAATCCTCAATCCCCCGAAATCATCCCAAGCAATCCTCCCCTCCATAGCAGCAACCATCAACACTCGTCCCGCAACCTCCTTCTCCCCTGTAAACGGATCCCAATGAAAGCCCTCCTTCAACCACATCCACCGCAAATACGCTCTCAACTCCTTATCCGCAGGGACAACTCTCATCCACTCCGGTTGGAAATTCTCTTCCTTTGCATTCTCTCCATTCCAGGAATTCGCTACGCCTCTAAGGATATCACGACAGAAGATGCGCCAGGAATCGATGGCGTAGGGTCCTTGAGTCATGTGTCCAATTTCCCATGCAATGCGAGGATCTTCGTCAGCGAGGATTTCGTCGCTTTCGATGTCACGACCAGAGTCCTGCTCAGGGTATCCTCGGACGGCGTAGCGTTTGTCTTTCATAGGTGGATCCTCGACCCATTGTTGACCATACTTCTTGAAGGTATCGGCACGTTGATTTTGGAAACCGAGATGGTGGATGATATCCACAATATCCTCTTTTGGCGCAGAGGCAAGAGCTTCCGGCGTGGGATACCTTTTCATAAGTTCATAGAATACCGGGACGGCTGTTTTTCCCCTGGTACGGTTAAGGAAGGTAACAGCGATTAAATGACGGAAAGGGTCATGAGCGAGTTTCTCTTGAATAATCCCAAATGTTGGCGAAGAGAGAGGCGGGAAAGGAATACACGATACAATGCCACCAGGTGAACGCTTGTTTGGGCTTGCTGCAGATCTTTTCTTTGGAGTATTGGGTGTCTCCGTGACATCTTGTATTGGGTTATCAGTCTTGGCTGCCTTGGCTTTACCCCTTTTCTTGGGCGATTCTGTGGTCTGTGAAAAATAAGGCGACTTTGCTGGCTGTCTCTTTGATATCGTCTTTTTAACAGACTTCAGAGGACTGATGGCCTTCAGTTGAACCTGTTGACTCGTAGATTCTTGCTTAAATTCTTGCTCAAATTCTTGCTCAAATTCTTCTACCGCAGTTCGATAAGAGGAATCAGGTGAAGCCTCTTCGTCTGACTGTAACATTAGAGCCGTTGAAAATGGTTCATCTGTAGACATCCGAGTACCCTCTCGAGCTACCATCAAATCCTCTTCCACAGGCCTTTGAGTATCTCCACGAATAGTCATCGAGGCCGGCTCTTCCTGGGAATCAAAATCACTAGAAGTCGGTAGACTTCTAGGTTCATAATCTTCAAAAAAGTCAGCAGCTTTGTTGCGTTTCAGTCTCATCACACCTGGCAAAGAAAAGGAAACCGAATCACGCCTTCTGCTAGTATTCGATTGTATGCCAGTGACTGGTTTAGTTCCCTGAAACTCCATCGGGTATTCCGGCGTTTTATTTTTAGCGGGGCCAGCTGAAGAGGAGCCATACGATTTCGTGGACCGAAGGCCAGCTTCCCCTGATGCAGGCGGAATTGTGGCTGGGAATGGGATTCTGGCAGTATTGTTTATAGATGGGCGGACTTCATGAGGGCGGATAGCAGATCTGTTGTTTGAGGACTGACCAATATTTTTCTTGTTGGCATTTAAGTTTGGCTTTGATTGGCTTCCCATAAGCTCCGAATTCGAGTCCTCTTCTGCCGATGAGCTATGAATCTCGGTTTTATTGTTGAAAAGTTTGGGTCTTCGTCTGATAAGACTTCGACCGAGATCTTGTGGGGATTCGATTCGGGGGTTTGGGACAATGGTGTTTCTTGTCGAGGAGCGAGAATTCTCCCTTCCTTTACTTGCTGACCTTGTTTGAACGGCACTGCTATTGCTTGCTGGTGGCTCCCTACCCTTCGAATCTCGAAGTGGAGAAGAATTTGTTGTCGAATGACGACGCCGCGACATTGAAGGTTCAAAGACGGACTCATCATCGGAAGTTGGAAACCTTGAGCGCACCCCCAGAAGCTTTTTGTATCCATCCTTGTGAAGATATACTTGGGATTCAGAAGAGCGTCGTGGCTTTGGAAGTTCCACATCGCTATCACCGAATACCCCATCAAAAACGTTTACAGGCTGTGCCTCATATTCCGCTAGGCGTGAGATTCTTTCGCAGGCAGCAGATGAAGTGCGTCTGTTGCGACTCTCATCACGCAAACTCGATAGTTCTTCATCCGTAGAAGAAACAATGCCAAGCTCTCGCCTCAAGATACTCCTGCGTGTTCTGTCTTTTGGGGTGATTCTCTCTGTTGATTTCGACGCTTTTCTGGAAATTGGAGTATGTTTATTGTCTTCTTGTGCAGGTGCAACAATTCCGAGTTCCCGTTGTAAGGTACGAAGCCTAGCTCTTTCTCTCTTCGAGTGTGAGCTTCTTTGCGGCGTTCTTGGAACCGAAACAATAAATGGGTCTTCATTCCCCTCTTCCTGTACAGGAGCAACAATTCCGAGTTCTCTTTGTAAGGTACGAAGCCTAGCTCTTTCTCTCTTCGAGTGTGAGCTTCCTTGCGGTGTTTTTGGAGCCGAAACGATAAGCGACTCTTCATTCCCCTCTTCGAGATCCTCGTTGACTGGAGTAACGATCTCGTGCCGCCCCCGATTCGCTCGCTCTTTTGTTACGCGTGGACTAGTGCGAGATTTCTTGAGCGCAGCCTCGGTCTTCAACCCAATCGCCTTTCTCTTGGATCCCGACCTCAAAGATTTATGATTAGAACTGCCAGTAAGGCCTTTGGATGGCGTTCTAGGCTGAGGTTCCTCCGCTTCGTTTGATGATGTCTCCCAATCGTTCTCATCAATATCAACTGTAATATCCATATTCTCATCCTCGTCACCACTACTCCCGCTGCCCTCACCGTTCTCAGCATCCTCCATATCACCATGATTACCCTGTTCTGTATATATATTCCTATTTTCCAGGTATCTACCACCACTCGCAGAGCCCTGGTCTCTTACGAGTGGTGATCTTTTGACGGTTCGCCCATTTCCACATCGAAGCTTGTAGAGTCCAGATCAGGGCTCACTTGCTTCGACTTTCGCTCTCGTTTTTTCTTCTTGGTCTTTAGGGGCAGCGGTTGATTGTCCGTAACATCGATAAGAGGTTGGGAGGGCTCTTCGGCGTATTCCTGGGTCTCGGGGATTTCAGTCTGATTGTTGAAAGACTTCCGCTTCTTTTTCTTAGGCCTTGATTCTTGAGGAGGTTCTTCAGCTGGCAATTGAGACTGGGTATCTGCAATCTCAGGATCTGTGCTGAAAGGCTTTCGCTTCTTGTTTTTTGACTTCGTCTCTTGAAGCAAATTTTGACTTGGGATTGCAGCGACCTGAGAATCCTGGGTTTCGGGGATTTCAGTTCTCTTGTCGAGAGACTTTTTCTTTTTCTTTTTAAGCTTTTTTTCAGACAGACTGATGTTAGAATCTTCCATTTCGGGCCCGACAGGCTGAGGTGCTTGTAGCTCAACTGCTTCTGTGGCTGTTTTTTCTGCTATTACCTCTTCACCATTCGTACCATTCTTACCCTTCTTACTTTTCCGGCCACGATCACGACGCTGCTTTTTCTGCTCAGATTTCTCGACAGGCTTTTGAACAGGGCCAGGCGCAGAATCCCCCTCCATAGTCTCCTTTCCAGAAACTTCAGCCTTCTTCTCGGTAGTGTTCATTCCTACGCTCTGTGCTCCCTTTTGATTATTCTTTGGATGCTGGTCGCTTGTTGTCTTCGGGGTTGAATCAGGGACTGGTTTAGAAATTGGTGCAGAGTTGCTGGCTTCTTTCAAGGCATTGTGATTTCGAGCTTTCTTGTTTCTCTTTTTACGACTGGACTTGGAAATGACGCCAGCACCAGGAACCGCATTATTCGCCGCTGATCCAGCAGTAACACCGTCCTTTGGCTTAGTCGTGCCTGAAAAGGTAGGTCGCGTAGTGGTGCCAGGGAGGGGATTGTTCACCGAGTTCTCCACGGCTTCTCTTGCTGAAAGCAAAAGATTGACTGCAGCTTCAGTCAATTTCAGTTCCTTTGCAAGCTTTCGAACAATCTCTTCCCGATTTTTGGGACTGTTATTCTGTTCGAAGACTTGAGCGGGAACTGGATTGGGAGCGGTCTTTTTGTTAGAGTTAGCCGTAGCTTTCCGAACGGCAAGTTTCTTATTTCTCCTTTCTTCGGGGCTTGCTCTCAACGCAGGGCCTGGGCTTCCGGTACTTTGGGCTACTGGAGGAAAGAATTTCGAAGTAGTGGGCCCTAGCGTCTTCTTCTTCTTCTTCGCTTTTCGCGCTGCCCTACGCGCTGCCTTTTTGCTATCTGCGTCACCTGAAACCACAGATACGGGGTTAGAGGTTTTATTGTCAACGCCGTTGGCAGGAACAGTACTATCGGCAACTTGAGCTGTATTAACAGGTCCCGGAATTGGGGCTCTTGCTTCAGCTTTCTTTGCCTTTTTCGCGGCCCGTCTGGCAGCCTTCACATTATGGTTATCTTCCACGGTCGTTAACTTGTTGTCCGCTGGGGCTTCCTCCCTATCGATACCCTTGGAGGCGATATCAGCAGCTTTTTGACTTGCTTTCGGAACATGACCATCATCATGTGCTGTTACTAGCCCAACACTCTTGTGTTGTTTCTCAGGCACACCATTTTCTATAGGCTCTTGTTCGGCTGCCTCAGCAGTTCCAATATCAATTACCATAGCTGTAGCATCATCACCCTGATACCAGTCAGTGGCAGTTTCTAAAATTGGCGCGATATCTTTTACCATTGTAGTGTGGGCATTACTGCCTTCAGTTGAAGCCTTGCTTGGTTTAATTGCTTCCGATTGTTGGCGCTTTTGACGGTGACGTTTCTTGCGAGACTTGCCAGATTCCGCGGCCTCAGAACCGGGAGACGTAATGATTTGAGAGTTCTCCTGCGTAAGTGTACTAGTGATCTCCTTGACCTTTGCGGTGGCCATGCTCATCGCTTGCTGAAACCCCTCTCCCGTGTCACCAGCAATCCCAGCAGCTACTACAGCCATTGCGTTTCCCATCACGTTCTCGATTCCGACGTCATGACTTTTCCTCTTCCGCTTTTTGTCTTTCTTGGTGAAAATTGAACCTTGAGAAAGTTGCGACAATTGCTCCAGTCCTTTCCCATGTGCCGTCTCGAGGAGCTTCTTAAGCTTCTTTGGTTCTGGTGACTGCTGTGACAACTGCGCTAACTCTTCTTCCGGAGCAACGTCTAACAACTCCATCATATATTCTCGTTGGGAAGGATCGACGTCAAAGTCTGCAAGGGGGTCGTCAAAGTCGTCATTCTCAGGCTCGGAGTCCATTGGGCGCGGCTGGCTAGAAGGAGGGTGTTCAAAGTCGGAGTCCAAAGAGGAGGAAGAGGAGACGCTTGGTGCTCGAGTCTGAACCAAATCATTAGTCCAAAAGCGACGCGCAACAACTGCAAAGTTGAGCAGAGGAGGGGTAGTAAACTCACATATTTAATCTTCCCCTCCCTCTTTGGTGTCCCCTTAACCTGAACAATAGGCATATCCTCGTCGCTGCTTCTCAAATCATTACTGCTATCCCGATCGGCCCACACCCTAGGTATCGCCAGATCCGCCATATCTCTTCTTGAAACCTCTCTCTCGTCCAAGATCTTCTCACCGGTTTCCGCTTCCCACCGCGCAAAAGAAGAGATATCGGATACGTCGGATGTAATCGAGTCTTCAGATTGGTCTCCTGACATCAAACACTTGGGACCTTCAATTGCGCATCGAAGTCGGGTTCGAGATCTTTGGTGGCTCGAATTGCGCGCGTTCTCGAAAGTCGCGTTCAAAAGATCGAAAGAAGGGCGACAATTGATGCGCGTCTAAGAAAAGATATTTGGCTCTTATGCGGCATATCCCAAGATCAAAAAGAAAATATGCTGGCGGGGTGAAGGAAATAATTGAAGATGGTGAAGTTCGTGGCGGGGAGCTTCCAGAGCTCACCACGCTCACCTTGAGCTTTTTCTTCAATTGGCTTATCAGGTGGCATCCCTGCCAGAAAATATTACCGGGGTGGGGGTCTGACAACGCCCAAATGACCTACCCAGAAGGAAATCATGCAATATTCCGTCTATGATCACAGTACTTGTACGGGGGGCGACAAATTTGAAGGCATCTTCTAAAGTATTGACACAGTCTAGAATTTCACTCCTTTCGCATCCCAGGCCAGAATAGCTCCTTATTAGAGCACTCCATCCCAATCGCTCCTTTGTACACATTCCTCGATCCTGCATGCAATAAAAGACTAGTAGAACAGTTCTTTCCATCTTCCCCACCCCTCCCCTGTTTTGACAAAAGAAATTCCATAAGCATCTATCTAGTGACCGTTGGTGTGTTTGCCCCCCATTGATGGAGGGGTGTAGTTGAGTTTTCTTGTCTTTACAGCTGCCCACTTGTATCTCTTGACCCACACGCTCAACGCAAATAGTGCAAGTGTAATAGTGATAACCTTCACTCCCATCTTCTTTCGCTGGTCCATTTCTGGCTCTGCTGACCAGTTCAAGAACTCGGTGACATCCTTTGCCATTTGCGAGGTTGAGGCTGGAGTTCCATCCTCATACTCAACCAATTCGTTGTACAAGACCCGAGCCATGGCGATTCCAGTACCTGGGAAATATGGGTTGAAGTTGAGCCCTTCTGGGACCACAGCTCCTGCAGGCACTTCATCGGGATATCCAGTCAATAAGTTGAAGATGTAATCAATTCCACCGTGACGTGCCTTGGCCATCAGCGATAGATCTGGTGGCAGAGCGCCGTTATTACCAGCACGTGCAGCCTCGTCGTTCTTGTAAGGGCGTGGGAGATAATCGGAAAGCTTTCCTGGACGCTTCTCAATTTCACCCTCATCGTTGGGCTCGGAGTCATATTCGTTGGCTTCGGCCATGGCTTTGGCTTCGTCGACAGTGTGGGTAACACCAACTAACGCTCGGTATGGGACTCTACTGAGGGAATGGCATGAGGCGCAGACTTCTTGATACACTTGGAAACCTCGACGAAGACTATCATTTGTCAATTGATATCTTTTGTAAATTTGTGGCAAAATACTCACGCTTGGTGATCAAAGGTTTTATTCCACTTTGCGTGTTCCCATGGGTATTTTGTTGGGTGAAGACTATCAATCTGTTAGACTATGCAATCCCATCCAATCTCAAATCTGCCATTCTTAATGCTCCCTCGCATGAGGAAAGCGCATCGCTCTGGCTTCATTGAGCATAGGCAAGCCATCACTCACCCTTCTTCTACTGGTGTCATAGCGTGTAGCTCGGGTCCGTATAAGTGATAGTACCATGCCGCTGATCCGATAGCCATCGCTGTCGAAACAGTACCGGCGACGTTCAAGGCAAAGGGAGAGGCAGCATTTGATGTCGAAGAGGCGGCCCGCTACACAACCACCTTGTTAGCATTCAACCCGCAATAATATATCCTTTCTCTTGATATATTCCTTGCCCCGCCTGCCTCGCCAATACCCGTCGTGGGGAATGTGGTGTTGTTCGTACCTTTGTGGTGTTAACCGCGCCATTTCGGACGGCGGAGACCCCGCGCGTCGAGCGCAGGCAAGATCTAGCCAGCATGTTGAGCACGATATACCTCAGCTGAAGATGACTTCACAAGAGGGGGGGTGGCTCAATTGGGTGGTGGGAGGGTGTAATTGTGGTTGGAGTGGTTGACGATGAAGTTTTGTCGGGATCTTGACTCGCCAGTCGAGCTCTTTCCTTCTGAAATCCCGACGATTTGATTGGCTTATGGGTAAGCAGATTACGTAATCTCGCCTCACGGAAACCGCTTGCGATTTCCGTTCTACAATAATTTAAGAATATCATTAATGCTGTTCTAAACCTTACTTCTCAATAGCCTTGCTTTGCATAGATTCCTTGCGTCAAGCTCTATTATGCCAATTTTCAATTAACTCCGCGTATATATCATATCAATTCTTCCATATTTTGCTCCAAATCATTTCGAAACTTCTCTTCGCTGTTGAACAGATTTCGCAAGAAGTTCGAGAACAACTTCGGTATCTTCCCATCCAATACAAGCATCCGTAATACTGACACCGTATTTCAACCCGGATTTGCCTTCCTTGGGAACTTTCTGAGCGCCTAGACTTTTGTCAGTCGATTTTCATGAAAATATTAAGGGAAATGAAAGACTTGCCCTCATTGATATTGCTCTCAATCATGACACCCATAATTGCATCCTCGCCTTTCGAGATTTGTTCTGCTAAGACTGCAGCAACTTTGGGTTGATTCTTATGATTCTTTAGCGAATTGCCGTGACTGCAATCGACCATTAATCTTGGGTTGACGCCGCTCTTGTTCAGTGCAGCCTTTGCTTCTTTGATATTTTCAGCATCATAGTTCGTCCCCTTAGTACCACCACGAAGAATAACGAAGCAATCCTCATTTCCAACGGTGCCAACGATAGCGACAACACCTGGTTTTGTAACTGACAAGAAATGATGAGGATGCTTGACTGCACCAATCGCATCAATTGCGACGCTCAAAGTCCCATCTGTGCCATTCTTGAAGCCAACGGGGAAACTTAGCCCACTTGCCAATTCCCGGTGTAATTGCGATTCAGTAGTTCTTGCTCCAATTGCGCCAACACTCAATAGATCGGCAAGAAATTGTGGCGAGATAGTATCCAACATCTCACTTGCCAATGGCATCCCTTTCTCGGTCAAATCGACAAACAACTGTCTACTCGTTCGCAGGCCCTTGTTGATTTGGAAGCTATTGTCGATATCAGGATCGTTGATCAGCCCCTTCCATCCCACAGTTGTTCGAGGCTTTTCAAGGTAGGAGCGCATAACGATGAGTAGGTCATCTTGGTATTTGTTCTTCAGCTTAACCAGGTTGTCGCAGTATTCGAGTGCAGCAGCGGGGTCGTGAATTGAGCAGGGACCGATGATCACAAGCAATCGCTGTTTTGGATCTTTGCCGTTGACCACTTCGACCGCCTCATTGCGTCCGTTGACAACAGTTTGTTTCGATTTGGGGGTCTGGGGAATTTCATGTTGAAGGAGATCGGGAGGAGTCAATGGGTTGTAGCCGCGAACTTTGTCATATAATCAGTATGTAATTGACAATTATGATTGGGATAGAGCTTCAAACGTACTTCTCCAATCTTCGGTATCAGCTTTATTGCCCACGTTTGGGTTTTCAATGTGGTAGCGCTGCGAGTGAGTCAGATTCAATTTCAGCTTCTGGGATGGGTATGAGCTTCAAATATACTTACAGCCGACATTTTCGCCAGGTGTTCAAGTTATCCAACGCGATTGCAATTCTTTGTTTTAAAAATGGCAAAAAATGTTGGAGTAGATGGTGTTTGTGGTAAAATAGAGCAGATGGCGGGGTCCAAGCTAGGTTGATTTTTATGAAGGGCCCCTCGCCATGCGATCGTCATGAAAGCCCACTTGCTGCATTGCTCCGAGGTTTTCCCGATCGGGCGATTGACCTGGGACTTGAGTCACTCGTTCACTGTACTCGATTAGACCAACTGCCTGTGTGAATCCTCTACGAAACAAAACATGGAAGATATCGTGGTTTCTCGCGTTTATTTGGAATGCGATGTGCGATTCGGACGGAGCAAAAATGAGGCATGAATTAATTGATCTTATTTATGTGCTGGAAACAATTGCAGATTGCCTGCAGTCTTATCTACCCAGTCCCCTTGGCCATTTACCCTTCCTTTACCTGTAACCTTGATTTGCCTTGCGCCGAAGAAATCATCTGAAGAACGAGTATCTATGCATCAGATCTTGCGACCAAATCCGGAATATCATCAACGGACTTGCGTCCTCCTAAAATATCTAAGTCTTGTTAGTTTCATTTCTACTTGGAAATAGGCAACCGACTTACCGTGGACAGCCTTGAAAAGGGGGTATGCGTCCACTCGTCCTCTAGCTTCCAAAAAGCTGTTGACTTCTTGAGCGGTACTAGTTCCTTGTAACATTTGACCATTCAACTGAGTTCTCTCAACTTCTGACACAGAGATTCCTTTCTCAACTGCGGTCCTTGCGCACTTAAAGTTACGGCCTCCACTGCAACTAGTGATCAAATCCGCAACGCCACAACTCTCTTCTGTAAAAGTGGCAGTATGCACCGAATGACCGAAGAATTCCTTGCCAAACTCTACCATCTCCAACAACCCGACACGCATCACAGCGGCCTTAGCATTATCTCCCCAACCCCGTCCCTCGACAAAACCTGCAGCTAGAGCAACAATGTTTTTGAGAGCGCCACCCAGAGAAACACCGGCGACATCAGAGACTAAGCGAACATGGAAATATGGCCGGTGGAAAAGGGTTTTGAACACGGCATGATCCAAGGGAGGATAGGATGAGGGTACAGGCTTCAACGCAGCTTTGCTAACGCGGCCACGAGCATCCTTGTGCTCTCCCTCTGCGGGAGTGATTGTAAGGTTGATCATAGAAGTAGAAGGAGAGGGGCCCGATGGAGTAGGAGGGCGGGAATCAATGATTGGAGGATCGTAGGCGACCGTCGTCTCGGACCATTTTTCCTGAGCAATCTCGCTAGCAATGTTGGCTCCTGACAACGCACCGCAATATATACCGAGTCCTTCACCAATCCACTCGCTGAAGAGACTGATGTCCGAAGCCGTCACATTGACACCCTTAATACAAGAGATACCGCGAGCAAAGGGAAGAATGTTCCCTTCCAGTTGCTTGGATATGCGACCAATGAACTGATGCGGCAGATTGAAAATGAGGATGGATGAGTCTTGAACGGCATCCACCAAGGAGGCATTCGCGATAATGTTCCTTGGCAAAGCAATGCTCGGCAGGTATTTCACGTTCTCGTGGTATTTGTTGATTATGGCAGTAAGCTTTTGCGGGCTCTCGCCAACTGAGGGATCATAATGTTTCGAGTCCTTTGGGATTGTAACCTCTTCTTCAAATACCCACATTTGCACATCTTCCACAAAAAGCTCGGGATGTTCCTTTGTATTCTCGGCCACGATTTTTGCGATGGTAGAACCCCTACTTTCGTCAACATGCGAATTGGAGAATGCGGCATATTAGCATACCAGTTACCGGATCCTACAATCGTAACCTTGTGCTTCTTGGTAGGTGCACCAAGAGTAGCCATCTTAAGTCGCTGGGTTGTGTTGAGATGAATGGGTGTCTGGGAAAGCTGTCTGATGGGTCTGGTCGTGATTGCCTGGATTCTGCAGATAAGCATGTGCCGGTTGCAAAAGGACCGTCGTGGGCTGCAGGATGATCAAGTTGAAGAGGAATCTATAAAGAGCGGATGGTGGTGTTGTAGCGAGACAGCAAATGACGGTCTTGTAGCTGGGTATGTTTTCATCCCAAGTCGGTTTGCAGAAAGAGCTGTTGGGACGAATGGGATTGGGTTAGGTGAAGCTAATGGAGGGGTCTTGGGGCGCAAGGGGCGCTGCTCTCAAAGTGGCGTGGCCTTAGCTTGGAATTTACCTCAGGCGTGGCTCGTGGCTCGTGGCTCGTGGCTCGTGATATCCGAGAGGTGGCTGGTGGGTTGATGATGCAGATGGTGGGTGGCTTACGTCTGGATTTTCCAGAGAGAAAAATTGCTTCACTTCCTACCTACCTAACCTGCCCCCCATGCCCCTCTTGAAGGTTCGTAGGTGCATATCCTAGCATAACCTTGGAAAATATTATTTCCTGCCCGACTATCTATTCATAACAGTACTCGTACCTCATAATTTCCGTAGTGCATTTGCATATCCAAGAAGATGATCATCTTCTTGGACTGCGACAGTTGGTTGTGAAACCGGGTACTCGTAGGGCAAGCTGGCTGGTGCTGCCATCGTGGGGTAGAGGGGCCCGTAGGCGAAGCGAAGATACTCCATATGCATAGGTATCCATCTGGACAGCAGAATTGGGAAATGCGATGCACATAGTCACTTTCCATCATGCGTTTTGGGCTGATGAGAGAATCTAGAAGTGTCATTCTTCATCCTTCACTCCACCGGTAGATACTTTGCTGCTGCTTCTTAGTCACCAAATCATGGTGCGAGGAGTGGAATGACGTCGTTCTTTCCCTTTCCCCTTCCCCACTTTTCACTTCAACTCCAGGTTTTCTGAGCAGGAGGTGGGTGAGCTCCAGCTCCAGCTCCCCCATTCACCCCTGCACCCACACCTGCCATCCCCAACTGGCAGCAGCATCTAGACCTCTGCCTCTGTCTCTGTCTCTGCCTCCTTCCTCCCGCCTGTTCTTCTCGCCGGGCAACTCCTGTACCTGCCTCAATTGCATTGTGGCATAGCTTACTCTCTCCCGCCTCCCGCCCTCGTATCATAGGTCAACATCATACCTAGTTTACCTTACCTAGTCTTGCGAATAGCGTCTCCTCACCGTATTCTTGCATTCTTGCAAATTACTCGTACGTACCTTTTAATCGAGGCTTTCCCGTCCTTCTTTTGCCTCCCCCTCCTTTTTCCTCTTTGATTCTCCGTCTCTCTTTTACGGCGCTCCACGCTCCACGCTCCTTGATTTTGCTCTACTACAAACCGTAGCCATCGCAGTCAACAGCCTCCAAAATTGGTCCACTTGCTCCAACCATACCTCGTATAGATATAACTGACGATGGCTCCCAAGACAATGGTCTCCAACCAGGTGTACCTACTCCCACTAAAAGATGATGGGAGTCCAGATGTGTCCGGTGGCTACATTTACTTGACTCCGCAATCCACAAGTCCGGTCATTGTGCGTTTTCAAATCGAAGGCACCTCTTCCATATGTCGACATGGTAGCTTGTGGGTAAACATCCCTGAGGAGGGTGCCCAATTTCAGCGAGATCACTTTCGAGAGTTCAAGTAAGAATCTCATTTTCAGCTTCTGCAACCCAATGTGCTAATCCACTCGAAGACTCGAGCCGGACTTTAATCGAACAATCGAAATATCCATACCCATTCATGGCGCTGGCGCATTTGCTTTCTACACTACCTATGCACCTCTACCCGAACTCACAGAAACCTCCAACACGCAGATCAAGCCCACGCAAACACCTACATACTATATCGATGTGGCGCCAAGGCTTTCTCTGGAGGGTGAGCAGTTGCCTTTGGCAGCATTGTCAATCTTCTCCCTCATATCAAAATTCATGGGCAAATATCCAACGGATTGGGAAGGCCACTTGAGAGGTATCAGTGCGAGGGGTTATAACATGGTCCACTTCACACCATTACAACAAAGAGGAGAGTCGAATTCCCCATACAGCATATATGATCAACTAGCTTGGGACCCAGTATGTTTTCCAAACGGCGAATCAGATGTCAAAAAATTGGTTGGGAACATGGGAAAAAACCATGGTCTACTAGGGCTCACCGACGTGGTGTGGAACCACACAGCCAACAATAGCAAATGGCTACAGGAACATCCCGAAGTTGGCTACAATGTGTCAACCGCGCCTTGGTTAAGATCTGCGTTGGAGTTGGATACTGAACTTCTCCAATTCAGCAAGGACCTAGGCAAATATGGCCTCCCTACAACCTTAAAATCAGAAGACGACCTTCTGAAGATTATGGATAGCTTGAAAGAAAAGGTGATAGCAAAGCTCAAGTTGTGGGAGTTTTACGTCATTGATGTCGAGCGAAACGCGGACGCTGCGGTGGAGTCGTGGTCCAAGGCACAAATCACGTTTCCTGCAGGCGGTTTTGGTGGCTCAGATTTCGGTGGTCTTGAGACTATCAAGAGCTCAACTCCCGCTCAACAGTCTGAATTTCTTACAAAAACCGCACTGGACAATAAAGACCGATTAGGCGAGCGCTACTTTCGCCGAGTAAATCCCAAGGTGGCTGCGGCACTTCTCACAGCTATATATGGCCGATTTGATGGGGATAGTTCCAACTCTACAGGCCGACAAGCTGCACGTAGTTATATAGTCAAGGTACTGGATGAACTCAACTTGCCCTTGTACAAGGAGTATGATCATGATGTTGCAGAGCTTCTTGAGCAAATTTTCAATCGAACTAAATACACGAGACTTGATGCCCACGGCCCAAAGCTTGGTCCAGTCGATTTGAAGAACCCTCTCATCGAATCCTACTTCACACGTCTCCCAAAGAACTCAATCACTGCTCAACATAACCAGGAGGATCTCGCTCTTGCAAATAATGGCTGGATTTGGGCGGCCAACGCCTTGGTAGACCACGCTGGTCCACAATCTCGTGCTTATTTACGACGAGAAGTGATTGTTTGGGGAGACTGCGTGAAACTTCGATATGGAAAGAGTAGGGAAGACAGCCCTTTCTTGTGGGATTTCATGGCAAAATATACTCGTCTGATGGCGAAGTATTTCACTGGCTTTCGAATTGATAATTGTCATTCAACGCCTATCCATGTCGCCGAGTTTCTTCTAGATGAAGCTAGGAGAGTTCAACCAAACCTTTTCGTTGTGGCAGAATTGTTCTCTGGATCCGAAGAGATGGACTATATTTTTGTCAAGCGCCTTGGTTTGAGTTCGCTGATTCGTGAGGCCATGCAAGCTTGGAGTACAGGAGAACTCAGTCGTCTGGTCCATCGACATGGTGGTAGACCCATAGGCAGCTTCGAGGTTGATGAAATATCTGGGACAGTTGTGAAGTCTCCAGTCAACGACCAGGCAAACGGGCAACTCAAGCGAGACATCGTCCACCGGATCAAGAATACACCTGTACACGCCCTGTTCATGGATTGTACGCACGACAATGAAGTGCCTGCTCAGAAGCGCGATGCTCGAGATACGCTACCAAATGCCGCGTTAGTGAGCATGTGTTCAAGTTCAACTGGTAGTGTGATGGGCTATGACGAAATTTATCCCCAATTGGTGGATTTGGTTCACGAGACGCGATTGTATACATCTTCATCATCTAAAAAGCCCGTTGAAATAGGAGCCGGAGACGGTGGCATTGGTGGTATCAAGAAACTTCTCAATCAAATTCATACTCTAATGGGCAAAGATGGATATGATGAAACTCACATCCATCACGAGGATGAGTATATTACTGTACATCGCGTCCACCCAGAATCTCGGAAAGGCTATTTCCTAATTGCACACACTGCTTACCCTGGGCACGGAAATGGCAATGGAAACTTTAATCCGGTCCACCTGCCAGGCACCAAAGCCCGTCGAATAGGGAGCTGGATGCTCCAGGTTGATGTGAGCGAAGAGGCGAAGAAAGAGGCCTTGGAAGACAAGAAGTATCTCAAAGGGTTACCAAGCAAGGTCGTCAACCTTGCTGGTGTCACGATGGAGGTAAAAGAGGATGAAACGGTCATCACCGTTCGCGAGAAATTTCCTCCAGGAAGTATTGCTCTATTTGAAACCTGGATTCCTAGTGCTGAACACTCTCATGGACTTGATACGTTCGTCACCTCTGGGGCTAAGGAAGCATTCTCAAAATTAGATCTTGTGGACCTGAATTTTGTTCTTTACAGATGCGATGCTGAAGAGAAAGACTCAAGCGACGGCAAGGACGGCGTGTATGAGATCCCAGGGCACGGGAAGCTCGTTTACGCTGGATTGCAAGGATGGTGGAGTGTCCTCAAGAATGTCATCAAGGAAAACAATCTGGCGCACCCAATTTGCCAGCATCTACGGGAGGGGCAATGGGCTTTGGATTATATCGTAGGTCGATTGGAGAAGATATCCAAGAAGACGGGACACGAACAACTCTCTAAACTTGCCATCTGGTTGAAAGAACGCTTTGATGCGATCCGAAAGATTCCGAGTTTCCTTTTGCCTCGTTATTTTGGTCTTGTTATTCGAACAGCCTACACTGCCGCATACAATCGTGGGATCGACTTGATGAACGAGAATGTTCAGCAAGGACAATGGTTCCTCAAGAGTCTTGCTATGGTGAGTATACAGCAATCCGGATTCGTTAAATCAGCTTCACTTTACCCCAACAAAGCTGTTCCATCATTAGCAGCTGGGCTACCTCATTTCTCGGTCGAGTGGGCTAGATGTTGGGGTCGTGATGTTTTCATTTCCGCACGAGGATTATATCTCGGCACAGGGCGGTATGCTGAGTGTAGAGAGCACATCTTAGCCTTCGCAAGTGTCTTGAAACATGGAATGGTACCAAATCTTCTTAGCAGTGGCAATGACCCTCGATACAACGCCCGGGATGCTATATGGTTTATGTTGCAGACCATTCAAGATTATACCAAGATCGTACCCAAGGGGATTGAGCTCTTGAAAGAGTTGATCCCTCGACGTTTCTTACCCTATGACGATACCTACTTTGACGCAGATGATCCGCGAGCATACTCCAAGTCGTCAACGCTGGAAGACATCATCCAAGAAGCACTTCAGCGCCATGCGACTGGGATGGAGTTTCGTGAGGCCAATGCTGGCCCAAACCTTGACATGCAAATGAAATCGGAAGGGTTTGACCAATCAATCAAAGTTGATTGGGACACAGGAATTATCTTTGGTGGAAATCAAAACAATTGCGGAACATGGATGGATAAAATGGGCGAGAGTGATCGTGCAGGCAGCAAAGGCATTCCTGGCACGCCTCGTGACGGAGCCGCTGTTGAAATCACTGGCCTTCACTACAGTACCATGATTTGGCTCGCGGAGCTTTACAAAGAAGGCAAGTATAAATACGATGGTGTCAACACGACCGAACAGAATCATCAATCCATCAAATACTCAGAATGGGCAGCACGCATCAAAGAGAACTTCGAACGTTGTTATTACGTTCCTCTTGATTCGAAAGATGACAAGGATTATGATGTCAACCCCAAGATCATCAATCGCCGAGGCATATACAAGGACCTTTATAGATCAGGCAAGGAGTATGAGGATTATCAACTTCGACCCAACTTCCCTATCGCTATGACCGTTGCACCAGATCTTTTCAATCCGGAACATGCCATCTCAGCTCTCTTCCTTGCAGGTAAAGTCATTCGGGGTCCCACAGGGATGGCAACTTTAGATCCTGCTGATCTCAATTACCGTCCATATTACAATAACTCTGAAGACTCGACAGATTTTGCGACTAGCAAGGGAAGAAATTACCATCAAGGCCCGGAATGGCTTTGGCCTACTGGATTCTTCTTGAGAGCACTCCTATATTTTGATCTGAAGAGAAGAGATGGGCCTGAGGGAAAGACAGAGGCATTTCAGCAGATCACAAGGAGGTTGGCGGGATGTAAGGAGGCGATTGTCAACAGTGACTGGGCGGGATTGACTGAGTTAACTCAGAAAGGGGGCGAGTATTGCGCAGATTCGGTAAGTTTTCACAATCTCTGCACTGATGAAGGCATATTTGCTAATGGAATTGCTAGTCCCCTACGCAAGCATGGAGTGCCGGGTGCCTTATTGATCTCTATCATGACGCTAAACAGTATGATGTTAATTTGCTTTCAGAATGACCTGATCCTGGTCGTCAAGACGTATATACAGACCGCGAAAAGTTTTGGCCGAATTTGGACAGAAGAACGTGGATGGGTTGGTGATACATATTAGACGAGAGGCAGCACGGGGCGACCTCGCTACAAAGCTTTAGAATCGGCTTTTGGACCGAGATTAAAAACGAAGATTGTGATCTTCGCGATGCTGAGGGGTAAATAATTAAAAGAATGTTAAGATCTTTTAAATGTGGTGGTCATTCATCTTCGTGCCCTCAGTTATAACTCACATACTTTGAGTCTCACCACTTCTCATTCTTGTCACTTTTACGCTTGCTTGGAGAGTAGGCACACAATTCATTCAATGATCCTAATCCATAACTAGAAATACCGAAAACATCCGACTGAAACGCAATGGAGTAAATACTCCAAACTACAAGTAAACCCGATCTATCCCAGACGCCCCTCATGAAACATGAAAAACAAAACAATTTCCCACGAACGCCGAGTGCCAATGCCAATGCGACAACCACAAACTTATGTCAAATTTCTCTCGTCATCGTGAATAGAACCGGATCAATACTCCCTCTCCATCAATTGCTTGCGAGAATGCCAATGCAATGACCGTTGCCCCTTGATAGTATTCTGGTTTTCTTGTGGGCGAGGTTCTTTCCCCCTTTTTGGAGCATCACCACTTAAGCGAGAGCGAGAAAAGGAGAAGGGGTATTAACCGAGGGACGGTTTTTTGTAAGAGGGCGGAGGCGCCCATTGGTTCCAGATTAAATCTTGATGTCTGTTCCGTTGATGGGTGTGTGATGGGGGCTTGGTAGCGAGGAAGGGAGGATCGACTTGTGGCTCCGTCGTTGGGTTGTTGGCTGGGCTTGTTGATCTCTTTCTGGCGATGGGGTTTGAGAATGCTGCTGGGGTGGGGTTGATGGAGAGGTCGCTGAATGGGTCGGTGTCTTCTGGAAAATGGGGACTGCTTGGGAAGGGAACGGCTGTGAGTAGACAGATGGGGAGGCTCTGGCTTGGAGACTGGTTTGGGCTTGCTTTTGAGGGCGGGATGAAGGGGGGGAGGTCTTTTTGAGAGGTTGGTTTGGTGCGGATTGTGCAGTCTATGTAGGTGACGGGTTGGGGGTTGGGTGATGCGGTATCGCGGTCTATGGGAGAGCTGATTTGGCTGTCTTTGGAAGTGGGTTCGTGGTGAAACTTCCGTTTTGGAGATGCTTGTTCTGGGAAGCTAGGTGGCGTGTTTTCTGAGGGCGAGTCGAAGATTATCAACCGTTCGGGTGAGGGTTCGTGAGGACTTGAGGGATTAGCTGGGGGAACGCGTGCGACTGGCAGGGTTTTCTTGATTTTAGATCGTTCTCGTAGTTTTTCTCCGAGACTTGTTCTACTGGTTCTAGGGTTGCTTGGGGGTTTGACTGGCTCCAGACCCGAGCTGGTTCGGTGTGTCGAGTTCAAATTACTAACCTCACGCAAAGAAGAGAGATGAGTCTCGAACCGCTCATCAACAAACTCACTCATCGACTGGGAAGGTTTCAAAGTCCCCAGCGACTCAACCCTACCCTCCAAGACACCAAGTCGTTGATTCATCTCATCCTGGAACGCAAAGAAAGAATTCCTCACATTCCCCTCCGCTTCCACGATCTGATCCCCAATCCGCGTCTGCATCTCGCGGATCTCTGCCAGACTCTTAACCGAAGTATCAACCCGAGAATGAAGATACGACATCCTCTCCTCCACATCCCGTAAATGGCCACCAAACCCCTCAAACCGCTCGCTAAAACTCGCCACCTGCTGGATCAAGTTGAAGATCTCGTCACCTAGATACCCCAAAATCCCATCCTGCTGCAAATCCTCGGTATCGCGCAGAAGCGCATCTTCCAAATGCGTCACGCGCGCCAAGATCTTGCGGCTCAGACTCGCGGTCTTGGGTGTATCCTCCAGTTTGGCATCGAGGGTGTCGAGAGGCCGTTGTAGGTTCTCGATGCAGTCGAGCATGTAGGAGAGGATTCCCTCCTCTGGGATGCCGACTGGTGAGTCGAGGGAGTGGGCGGCGGCGAGGCGGGTGCAGAGGGTGTGGATGTGGTCTTGTTTTGTGGCGAGGTCTTGGAGGGAGAGTTGGGTGAGGAGCTTTTCGGTTTCGTGGGTGCGGATTGTGGATAGGGCGTGGGTGTGTTGTTGTAGGAGGGATTCAGAGAATTTGTAGAGTTTTTCGAGGTCGGGGGTGGTGATTGTGGTTGCTTCCGAGGGGGTTGAATGGTTGGGCTTGGGGTGCTCGAGGGCTTCGGAGGGGAGGATTTCTTCGAAATCTTCGAAGGGAGATGGGGAGGTGGGCGTTGGTGTTGATGACTGGTTACCCATCATTGGGTTGTAGGTTGGGATGCAGGGTGTTCTTCTCATTGGAAACAGGTTCTCTGATGCTTCTGACATTTGTTCTTGCGGATTTGGAAAGTATGTGAGATGGTGAGGACTGGGGATGAATGACTTTGGGAAATGATTTGCGAATATATATCCCAAGACTCCTTTGAAGACCAGGAGAAGCTTTGGTAGAAGAAGTTTCCAAATATTGCACTGTTGCTTTGAGCGGAAGTGTCTCATAGTTTGCTTCTAGAAGGTGTCTGTGTGTTTTTCTTTGATCTAGGTATGAATGGAGTGTAAGATTTTACTTCACAGTACAATGACCAATCTGGGTGAGTGTTTGGTAAATCCTGCGCGCTTTGTAGAGCCTGTCACTTTCATCATTGTGAAATGTCTTATCGATAAAGTAGTTGACACTTCGTCTTGTGATGACAAGTATTTTGGGTAGTGTGGAGGAGCTGTTAGTGAAAAGTTATCTGTGATGTCCAAGCTCTCTTGATCCATGCTTTTTTCATTGTTCTAATGTGTTCTAGAAATTCCAATCTCTCAATGAATTTCACCTACACATAGACCATGTACATGGCTGTGTGTGAAAGAGAGAATGAAACTTTTCAAAAAAGGGGTGTGGGAGGGTTTCTCTGAACATTCAACAAAAATACCTGATGTTGTTTTCTAAGTTTATTGTGGCAATTTTCACCATCCTTTAAACTACTACTGTGCCAATAACCTTACACCCCCACTATATTGCAGTCTGTAACCACTAACTTACTGCCTACTATGTTACTTGCACTGTCGAAATACCGTACTATGATATTTTGACTTTCGTACACGCTTATGTGAAAGTACGTTGTTAAAGGAGAGAGGGGTAGGGGGAGGGGGAGGATAAGGGCTCCGGAAAAACAGGCGATGCTGAAATGTTGATTGAAGTTTCTCCCATATTCATATGTCTTTGTTGGGGTTTCTCGTCTACTGGGAACAGGGAACTATCTGCTATGCGCGTGTCCTCGCTTATTGAACACCACTCAATACTACCTTCCTAAAGAGGCTGAGAATGCACATGGTGGGCAAATAGTTCTTTGCAACTTAACATGACTATCTTTTGACCTTGCTTTCTCTTCTCTGACTCTGACAGTAAAGCTTTACAATAGCGTGGGATACATTGCAATAGCGAGCATACGATAGCGACGGAGTGCAATTGTAAGGAATGTAAGTCTTACCCAGTCAAGCTTTACGTGGAGTAATGAACAAGTCTCCTACAGTAACTCAAGTAAGGAAAGGCACAATATAACAGGCAGTCAGTATTTAGAAGTTTGCAAATGGGAACAAACACACTCAAGGATGATTCAAAGTCACAAGGCAGAAGGAGGGACATAATCGCGAAAAACCGAGGGGATCGTCCCTGATTTATCTAGATACATGAATATAATTTTGAGAACGAAAAGACCATTTCATATTCCGCCTCCTTAGCAAGGAAAGAGAATCCACAATACCGATTAAGGAAGTAGAGAATTCCAAGAACCCAAACTTTGGATTGAGATATATGGTATGGTGTACAAAAGAACAGCTCGCGGAACTGCCACGAGTTTACAAAAATGCAGTCGGCCTAGAAATGAAACTTGAATCCTCCCATATGTACAAGGCCTATGAACAGACAGCACGCCCATAAGGCTTGCTGCCATGGATGCAGAATATAATGACCCGACTTGTCGTGTGTTTATTGACTGAGAATCGGATGGCGAAGTCGAGTCGAGAAGTGAAAATATGAAAGGATTCCCAAAGGTAAGAACGCCACGCGAACTAGACTTGGAATGGAGTAAAAAGGTTGTCGATGAGCGTTTATGCTTGGCTGGCGATGACGGAGCGAGCAACGTTCTCGAAGGCGTGGAAATCACGTTTGGCTTGGAAACATGCTCCACCAACACGAAGACATGGCTCTGGATTAGCTGCTGCCTCAGCAAGAGCTTCGGCCGCGCGCTTAACCTTCCAGCATCCTTGTCCAACATATTTGCATGCCTCAGCATCAGCCCCAGCAAGTGCTTCTGGGCTTGGGGAGCGCTTCTGTTTCCAGCAAAGGTCAGGACGAAATCCCTTTACAAACCGACAACGACGAGCTATTTGATCTCTTACCTCTACCGCTTCTGCGTCTCTCTTCCAGCAGCCCTGTCCAGCATATCTGCATGGCTCTCTCTTGATCTTCTTCTCAGCTTCCAAAGCATCAACTGTATTATTGTCAGCATGTATATCAAATGTGGGGTATAGGGAATGTAAACTTACTATCTGGGTTGCGAAGCTTGAGGGTAGCCAAAAACTCCTCTGGATTTGGTTGAGCAGCTGCTACGGCCTCAGCCATGGCAAGTGCGTCTCGCTTGGCGTTGTAGCAAGCGCCTCCAACAAGATCACATCGTGCGCTAATTTTCTCGTTTGGCTCAGCAAATGGCTCAGCAAGTGCTTCCGCAAAAGCCTCAGCAGCTCGCTTAGCCTTCCAGCAACCCTGACCAACATATTTGCAGGCCTCAGCTTCAGCATCTGCTTCTCTCTTGGCCTTCCAGCAACCTTGGCCAGCATATCTGCATGCCTCAGCTTCAGCAAGAGCCGATGCCTCTCGCTTAGCCTTCCAGCAGCCTTGTCCAACATATTTGCATGCCTCGGCCTCAGCCGCGGCAGCCGCCTCTCTCTTGGCCTTCCAGCAGCCTTGTCCAGCATATCTGCATGCTTCTGCTGCTGGGTGTGCCTCTGGCTCTGGCTCGGCCTCTGCCTCTCTCTTGATCTTCCAGCATCCTTGTCCGGCGTATTTGCAAGCCTCGGGGTTGGCAAGAGCTTCAGCTGTGCGCTTGGCTTTCCAACAACCTTGTCCAGCATATCTGCATGCCTCCGCTTCAGCAAGAGCCTCTGGGGTTGCAGCTCGCTTGGCGTTGTAGCATGCTCCTCCAACGGAGTAGCATGCCTCTGCCTCAGCAACGGCGGCGGCAAATGGGTTGGCCTCAGGGTTTGGTGATGCGTTTGGTGCTGCGCTAGCAGTGAACGCGAGAATAAGAACGCAAAGGGTGTTTGTGAGCTTCATATTGTAGAATGTTTTTTTTCTGTGTAATGTATGTGTGTGTGTGTGTATGTGTGTGTGTACTTGTGTGTACGTGTGTAAAGATCGAATGTAAATGAGTGGGTGAAGAAAAAAAAAGATACGAGGAGAACAGCGCAGCCTCTTATAGAATTCAGAATTAGTTCTGTTCTCTTCTTCTCAATGGTAATAATTCAAAGTGGTTGTGGCGGTTTGGCAAAGGGCACAATGCTCCTCGCTTACTATTGAGAACTGTATCGGGAAAAGTCATTTCCCCCACACCACAAAGACGTAAATACTTTCTGAAATTGCCACTCGAATATTGGAATCGAACGAGTCTCTAAAGATGAGAAAAGAATTTGCACTTAGGAAATCTTACTTTAAGAGGGTGAAAGTGAAGTTTGATTTCTTCTAGATGCATTCTTAGCGACAACACGATAGAGCCCATAGTTCTCAGTGAGACACTCGGCGAGAAGAGTCTCAGGAGAAAGAAGTTATCGCTGAAGTCTTCAAAATCGATGTGGGAGGTCATATGTCGGTGGCTCCGTAGAGATTGTGACCATCGTGACAGAGGCGCTTTTCAGGCCACTCCAGAACACGACTTATGATCACTTCTAGAAAGTTTCCATGAACACCACAAGATCTTGGCCTCGCTGATCTCAAGCAAGTATAAAGGCTCTAGGTGTTCGACTGCTGTGTGGTGGGCGAAAAATGTAGTTTGCCGCATTCTATTCAGACCCCTTTCCTATTGACACCCAAAAAGAGGGAAATAAGCGAGGCATCAAAGAAAATCATTGGCTCGCCCAACAACGGATAAGCCTGCAAAATCCCGACAAACTGGTTTCCCTAACACATGCCAGGGCTTCGAAGTCTTTGCTACCAAGGCGTACAGGAAATCGAGCAGGCAAGATAATTTTCTGAATAGCGCATGGCCGCGTCTGGACTGGAGGCAAACCTGTTTCGCAGATCCCAGAATCAAGAAGTTCGAATCATAAAGGATCCAGCTCTTTTGAATAGTATCATAGAAAGAATTTCGCTTTCTTGCATGGGCTGATTTCCGTCCCGAAGACAAGACCATCGTCGGACACAATAGCCTACTTGAGCAATCAGATTTGACAGTGCCTTTGAGATGGTGAAGCATGCTGAACGTCATGACCTTCAGGAAGCTATTCCATTCTATGTCGGTGGCACTCAATAGGATGCATGCAACGGAAGACTTTTGATATCATGTGGTGCAAGGAAGAAAATAAAGAGTGCAATGGCTGTTATAGCATTGGTCCAACCCAATGAGACAGAAGTCATAAAACGACCGCACTGGATATCGGGCATCAAAACTTGATTCGATGACCATTATTGAAGAAAAGAGACCACACTTCTAATATCACCCTTAAAGTGTAGATATTTAAGAGTAGATAAAACCAGGCTGATATTGACATCCACCAACCACGAGAGCAGTTGTAAAAAATGGAAATAAAGTAGAACAATTGAAGCAGTTATCCTAGAAATTCCAGGTTAACCCTCCAACTCAACTCAGAAAGAAGGAATAGTGGATGATGTCCTACAACCTTATCTTGCCACACCTCGAGAGTGTCAAAAACCCGGTCTTAGCTACTGTTAAAAGACGCCCTGCTCTTCTCGTGATCCTTGCGCATGCATTCGCAAAGGCGGGGTCGTTCTGTTCATATAGGTAGAACCATCATTCCAGTAGTACTCGTACTCGAGCAGGTACTCTGCAAGCGATGGAAGGAAAATGTTGCAATGTACAGTATCACGTACAGTATATATTGAGAATGTCAAATCCAATATGAAACCATTCCCACCCGCCAGTGCCCGCAACCCGCAACCTCGGCTGGAGGGGAAGCGCCAAGTCTCCGGTTTAAAGTGCGAGATCGGGAACGGAAAGCAAACCTTACCACATGCCCCAATGGTCCAAATTGTATCTTTTCGTAGTCTTCCCTGTCACAACAACCTCCAAACAAACCTACAAAACTCTCCTCCTAATTATTTTAAATGTTGACCCGTAGCTCTGTACGGTCGGCGCAGGTATGTTGCTACCCCTCCCAACTGCCAATGGCACAGTCACGAAGCTAACACCAGCTTTCTTATCAGAGCCTTCTGCGATCAGCCCAAGCTCCATCGCGATCCTTCGCAACCATCCAGAGCGATATTTTTAAGCCCACAAAATATGGTGGAAAGTACACCGTGACTTTGATTCCTGGAGACGGTATCGGAGCCGAAGTTGCAGAGTCTGTCAAGACTGTTTTCAAGGCAGATAATGTACCAGTGGAGTGGGAGCAAATCGACGTCTCGGGTCTACAAACCGGCAACAAAGTTACAGACGACCTGTTCCGAGAATCGATCGCCTCGCTGAAGAGAAACAAGTTGGGATTGAAGGGTATTCTGCACACACCTGTCGAGCGATCGGGTCACCAATCGTTCAACGTTGCACTTCGTCAAGAGCTGGACATCTACGCTTCAGTAGTCTTGATCAAGAACATTCCAGGTTACAAGACTCGTCATGAGAACGTTGATCTGTGCATTATCCGTGAGAACACCGAGGGTGAATATTCTGGTCTTGAGCATCAATCAGTCTCTGGCGTTGTCGAGTCCCTAAAAATTATTACCCGCGCAAAGTCGGAGCGCATCGCAAAGTTCGCATTTGCTTTCGCCTTGGCTAACAACCGCAAGAAGGTCACTTGTATCCACAAGGCCAACATTATGAAGCTGGCAGATGGTCTTTTCCGAAACACCTTCAACACCGTTGCTAAGGACTACCCCACCTTGGAGACCAACGATATGATTGTCGATAACGCATCCATGCAATGTGTCTCTCGACCACAACAGTTTGATGTTATGGTTATGCCCAACTTGTACGGAGGAATCTTGTCCAACGTTGGAGCTGCACTTGTTGGTGGTCCAGGTGTTGTTCCTGGTTGCAACATGGGTCGGGAAGTTGCTGTCTTCGAGCCTGGATGCCGTCACGTAGGTCTGGATATCAAGGGCAAGGACCAAGCCAACCCCACTGCTATGCTTCTCTCCGGTTCCATGCTTCTGAGACATCTTGGATTGGACGAGCATGCCAACAGAATTTCCAAGGCTGTGTACGATGTGATTGCTGAGGGGTAAGAACCATTCTCGATATTTCATATATGCAATATGCAACAATGCTGACATCACACTAGAACTGTTCGAACTGCTGATATGGGAGGTGCTAGCAGCACAAACCAATTCACAAGAGCGATATTGGACAAGATGGAGCTTGCAGGTTAAGTGGAGAAATGCGAATTGTATTAAGGGCAATAGAGGTCAATTAGACCGGTGTATTCTACTGCATAAGGCGCTCAACTTGGTGAAAATATATATCCGTTGGAAACTTGTTTATATGAATGATATTGTGAGGGTTTGTTTTGCTCTTGAGTTGAACCCAATGCTCAGTGCTCACCTTCCATGGCTGTTAGTAATGCTGGGCCCAAGAAATGACTTGAATGGTGGACCCCTCACTTTCCAATACAATACTTCTTCTAAGCATAAGATCCTTCCGTGCCCTCCTTTGTGGTCCAATGTTGCTTGTATCATTTTCGAACTTAAAACTAGCCACACCTGATATGAACAGCGTTTGCTTCAATCTTCATGTATTTCAACTTTAGGATGAGGATATCGTAATTCGTAATTCTACCAGACGCCATCCATGCCAAACAGAACGCCGCCCCAAATCTATCAAAGTTTTCCCGCCTCTAAAAGGCAATATTCCTCTTTCTTCCAGTATATTTCGAAGAATGCTTGACCACCTTTCCCTTCCTTTCCATTTGTTCCTTCTTACTCAAGATCCAGGCTTTACTACCCTTTTTAAAATCCTTTCTTCCCTTCTCCTTATGTTTTCTCCTAGCATCTAGAACATCCACACCGTCAAGATTCTTCACAACCCCAGTGATATCTTCACCTGCGCCCTCCTCCGCCGATCCACCAACAGTCAAAACCAAATACAACTTTGCATTTTTGGTTCCCGGATCATCTTCCAGAATACCAGCTCCGAATCCTGCTTTGATAGCAGCACCACTAATCATCGTCCTCTGCTGCTCATTCTTTGGGTAAAACTGACACACCGCTCTCCCCCCTCTCTTTAGACTAGCATACAGACCGTTGAAGAATCTTGTTAGTCGCCCGGTTGAGGAGACCTCGCTACTCTCGGCATTACACAGCCATTGAATGGCACTAATTGAAATCGCAGCATCGAATGTACCCGCTCGAAATGGAAGACCCTGGCCAATATCCGCGAGCATCAAATCCCCTTCCACATCTCTTTGTAATGCAATATCTAACATGGAGGCTGAAATGTCCATGCCTACCCAGATGTGTGGTCCCCCGTCCGCTGGGTCGATCGAGGAGAGAATTTCTCCCGAGAGTCCTGAGCCGCAGCCTATGTCGAGGATCATAGATGGGGAAGAGATGTCCAGGAGTTCGAGGGCGCGGTGTGTCATGGAAGCTTGGATTGTTTGGATCCGGGAGGAGGTGGTGTATTTGCGTGCTTCCGTATCATTGTAGTGGAGATCTGGGGGGCTGGTTGAGGATTAGTACCTGGATGTGCGGGGTGGAGGGGGAGTGGAGGTTCGCACAGTGTATCTTCTGGACGGGACATGGTTGCAGTTTATTTTCTGCCGAAGTAAATGGATGCTATTATGTGAAAAAATATAGATCGCTAACACAGAGAGCGATTGGAAGGTCTTCGGGCGTTGAGGTTGGTTTGCGACAATTTGGTTATGGGTGAAATGTTTGTCAATCGCAAATCCGCTCAAGTCTTGAACTTTTTTGTGGGGTCCTTCGGGATCGGCCCCCTGGCACCGTCATTCTGCCACATCTCTTACAACCGCCAAATCGGGTATTTGGATGGTCTGGACAGAACTCCAAAGGAAACCCCAAACTTCTCGAGAAACACCATGCTTCCAACTCGATAACAAATAAAGAACTCTTTCGCAAAATGTGGATTTTACCTCTGGTGGGTTACATTGGCCTCGCTCTAGGCTTTGGCTTCCTAACTCTCGCGATCGGTAAGGAGCTCCCAAGAGCCCGCTTCTCACGAGCGCATAGCTAATACTCATCTGGAAACTAGCATCTGGACTTTACTACCTCTCTGAACTGGTAGAAGAACACACAGTCATTGCCAAGAAACTCCTCACTCGATTAATTTACCTCGTCATCGCAATCCAAACCCTCCTCTGCCTCGTCGATGGCTTCCCCTTCAAGCTCTCCCTCCTGAGCATCGTCTCGCATATCGTATATCTAGGCAACATGCGGAAATTTCCCATCGTGAAGCTGAGCGACCCCCTATTTTTGGCATCCTGTGGTATGTTTCTTTCAGCCTTCCCTTCCCAAATCAATAGATTGAAGAAACTCGGTGACTAATTCAGAAACACAGGATTGGTCCTTCTAAACCACTACGTCTGGTTCTCGCACTTCTCCAACCCACACCTCGCCGCCCCTCGTTCGCGATACGACATGGTCAACATGCCGACCTTCACTGAAATCGCGTCTTATTTTGGTCTTTGCGTCTGGCTCGTTCCATTCGCTCTCTTCGTCTCCCTTTCCGCGGGCGATAATGTGCTGCCTACGATGGGGAGCGAAGCCCCTGGTGTCGGCGCTGGGGATGGAAAGAACAAGAGACAGGGGATGATCAAAGTCTTGGTTGATACGATATTAGGGTGGATTGGGGGTGTGGGTCAGATGGCCGGGTTGGGGGCGAGGAAGGAGAGGGGATTTTGATTTTCTGAAATATTGATTTCTGTATTAGCCGGCGTTTGGGAAGACTCTGGAATAAGAGGGCGTGTATTACTTTTTCTTGTAAGATATTGGAATTCATCCTTATACATGAATCAAGAGGGATCAATTCATCTTTCATTTCATTTTCTTTTCGTTTCATTCTTCTTTTTTTTGAAGAGCTGATAATTGGCTAAGCTAGGTCATAAGGGGTATCTTTCATCCATATTCCATCAATCCCACCTGAAAACGCCTTTCCCTGGATGTTAGTGGTACATTGTGTAAGTGTATAGCAAGTAATGTGTAGCAATATTCTCCATCTCATACTTTCTCTACTATTCCCGTGGCGTTTTCCTTTCCCTCTCGCGGGCCTTTTTCAGGATCAGCATGGGTTACAAGGGTATTTTTGGATGCCACAAGTACCTTCAATTCTGGTTTGTCCAATCGATTCGCTAATGTTGGCCATTTCTTTGGCTTCTTCCAAACGTCCGTCGAGTACATGGGAGATATAGCCGGCAACAACTATGGTGTGGCCTTCCATCGTCTTCATGCTGGCCAAAATGGCTTTTTCGAGGGCTTCACGCTTATTGTTGAGTGCGTCGAGTCTCTCCCAGTAGCTGGCTTGGAGTTTGGAACTGAAAATGTATTAAAGAAAGGCACGAAGGTTTGAGGAAGGACATAGTGGTGGAGGGTCCTTCATGGGTGAGGTGTAGGCTTGGAGTTCAAAAAGCTGGATTGAGGAGAGGGACATCATAGCGAGGGCAGAGACGCGAAAAAGACTCACACTTTGTTCTTCCTAACCGCGTAGAGATTCTCCATCTTGGTTTTGACTTCCTTGACGCGTTTGCTATGCTCTGCTTCAATTGACTTGCGCTTGGCCTCTCGACGTTTCTTGCCCTGTTTTGGGCGTTGTCAGAGAGCCCAATGTCAGTCAATGATTATTTTGATATACCTGAGCCAGAATGTTTTCAGCCTTCTTGACTAGATCCTCTTGACTCGGTTGACTGGTTTCTTCATCAGAGTCGCTGGCCGCTGCTGGCTGAGCGGGCAGGCTTTTTCGACCTTGAGGAGCCATGGCTGGAAGTAACCCTTCTCGAGGATCCGTAGACTTTCTTTGGTTCACGTAAAGTCTAGACTGTGAGCTTCAGAAATATCCAGTTTCTCAATTGTGTAAAGTGGTGGAGAGGAGGAAGGATGTCGAGAAAGATCTATAGAAGAAACCAGCCAATCAAAAGCGAGCCCGCTACAGGGGCCATGCTCCACCAAAATTTTGGCTCAGCGCAGGTACGAGTAGTCGCAATCTTTTCTCGATAGCGAACTTCAGGAACATTTCTTATCACTCCTCCACCAACACCCTCTTCACCGCAAATATGGGTCTCGCAGGTCCCAAAAAGTATGTCGCGTTCCCCTTGAATATCGGTTTATAGTTAAACTAATATAATTCAAGACGCATAAAGCTCTCCCACGACCCAAACAACACAACATGGACGAACGACACCCAATCCTTCGGTCACAAAATCATGACCTCGCAAGGTTGGACACCAGGCCAATACTTAGGAGCCCAAGATGCCGCACACGCTGAATTTCATACCGCCGCGAATGCATCGCATATCCGAGTCACCCTCAAAGACGACAATCTTGGTCTGGGGGCGAAGATAGGAAGTGGTGTAGGTCATGGTGAATGCACCGGTCTTGACGTTTTCAAAAATATCCTTGGACGCCTGAACGGAAAAGATGAGTCGGAGATTGAGAAGGAACAGAAGAGTAGGGATGATTTGAAGAGGGCGGTGTATACGGAGAGGAAATGGGGGAGTATTAGATTTGTGAAGGGGGGTTTCTTAGTGGGTGATAAGATTCAATTGTTGATTGATGAGGAGGCCGAGAGGGTTAAGAAGCTGGACGACGGCAGTGCGTCTAGTGATTCTGATTCTACTTCTGAAGGAGAGGAACAGGAGCCTATGAAGGTTGAGGAGGCGAAAAAGTCCAAAAAGCGAAAGGCTGAGGCTTTGGTGGAGAACGCCCCGGAAGTTGTGGCCGTTAAGGTTAAGAAGTCGAAGAAGAAGAGTAAACCCGAATCTCGACCGGAACAAGAAGTGGTAGCCGCTCTGAGCGACATCAAAATATCCAAGAGATCCAAAAAAGAGCGAAAACTGAAAGAAGCAGTCGAAGAATCCAATGACTCTTCAGACGAATCCGAAAGCAAGAGACGAAAAAGGGAAAAGAAGGAGAGGAAACAAGAAAGGGAGGCCAAGAGAGAACGAAAAGAGAAGAAGAGAGCCAAATTGCAGGCTGAAGATGGATCAACAAAATCCAAATCCAAGAAATCAAAACGAGCGAAGAGTAAAGGTGACGACTCTTCTGATTCTTCCGAAACCAGCACGAAAGAAAGTACGCCTTCTGTACCCGTCTCCGCGCCATCTAGCGGTCGGTCAATGCCTATGATGCAAGGTAGACATGCTGTTCGTGCGAGGAACATAGCACAGAAACGATTGGCTAGTATGGATGTAGCATCTTTGAACCAGGTATGTCGACCATAACATTCTTTTTCCGTTTCCAGCCGCTAATTGCAATCGCAGGTTTTCATGATCAAGTCGTAGCGTTGGAAATAGATAACCACACGAGTTTTGTAGTACAATAGACATCTAATTGTCCAACAAGACTTCACACGCAAAATAAATCCAAAAAGTCTCATGTAAAAATTCACTTGGTTTGTAATTATCTCCATTCCCAAATACGTACGGTACAAGTCCCCAAATAATTGAAGTTCTCAAAGTGAATAGGTCGTAATCCAGCGCCCGGAAAATATCCACCCATCATGAAGCGTATCGACATTAAAGGTAATCACCACCAAACGACCGTCCTATCTCACGACGCCTTTTTCTCCCAAGCCCCACTTAATCTAAATACGAATCAACTCACCAACAACCTAACTAAACAACGCCTTCAGCTGCGCCTTCACAGCAGCTGCGGGGATTTCAACCGGCACATTGGCGCCCGCCTGTGCGATCCAGACTTGGCTTGTGCTGGGAAGGTACCAGAATTCGGCTCCAGGCCACCTGTTTTCAACTTAGCTACTGCCTCATAGTCGTCACAAGCCCTTTTCCCTTTCTCTTTGCACCCATAACAAAGCTGAGGAGGGGGGCCTGTTGGGTGAAGAGAGACTTACTCGACAACCAGCGTGTTAGGATTGAGACGGACGGGAGTCACCATAACACAGGCTCCGGTACAAGGGGCCAGGTAGGAAGCGAGGACATCGCCGGGGACGGCTTCCAGGTTGAGAGCTAGGGGGTGGGTGTAATCGCCGCAGTATAATCTGTATTCAGTGTGAGTCGAAGGTGAAAAAGTGGTGAAAAGAGATGGGAACGGGACGTGTGGTTTGCGTGTATGTGAATGGATGGATGAATGGGGAATCGTGAAATGAGATGAGATGCAGATGTCAGGTGCAACGCATCACAGGAAGGAAGGAGGTAAGGACGGGATGGATGGAGTACGTCAGATCTTTAAGTTTCCTTGACTCCAGCCATGGGGGATACAAGGAGGGAGTGGATTGGATGATGGGTAAGGGGATACAAATTTGTGGGGGCTTATCCCATCATCATATCGTGGGAGCCGCCTCCGAGTGGTTTGTACATCGCCTCATCCGTCACCTTATCCCTCAGTCATCCCTCCTTCCCACTTTCCAACATCCAAATAATCGCTCTCAAGGAAATAAGTGGAGATGAGGGGAACGTAGATGGAACAACGTACTGGCCGTTAGCCTTGATCTGACATATTGGTGATTCTGCCTTGGCGGGTGTACAGGTGCCCTTGTTGGTGGTGAAGTAGAGGGGTTGTTGGACGGCGGAGGCGATGACTTCTACCTTGAATGGTGGAGGTGCTCGCGGGAGGAGTGCGGAGAGGACGGGGAGTCTGGAGGAGAGTGGATGTGTTAGTTGCTGTGATATAAACTGGGGATTGTGGGGTAATTACACGAGAGCGAGGAGGAGGGGCAGGATGGTGAGGGAGAATCGAGACATGGTTCCTGAGACTGTTGTAGGATTTTTTTGGTTTGCAGTATGTGGTTTGTTGTAAGAGGGGTTAAGGTTTGTTGTAAGAGGAGTTAAAGGTTTGGTTTTGGATGGATTAAAGGAGAGTGGTGTTTTGGTTGTAAGGTGTGTAAAGTGTATGTAGGTCCCTTGGCTACGGACCAGATTATATACTGCCACCTTCACATTCAGAACAAAAAACCTGAAGTAGTCAATCAGTCAGTGAATACTACCCTCCCACCGGCCCTCTCAAGCTCCCAAGCAAAGATTCTTGGTAATATGTCCTACCAATGCACGTATACACTGCCCCTCTATCACATCTAATCACATATTTCAAAAACTGAACTAAACTAAGCCCGGTGAGTCTGTGTACGCCCCAAACGAGTCCAACGAGTCAAAAAGGGTCTAAAGAGTCAAAATAAAACCCCGTGGAGAGCTTGTAGACTGGTTGTAAGGGGGTGGTGCATGCTGCCACATTCACAACAAAACTTCATTGCAGGCTCGTGCTACGTCCGATGGGAAAACTCTGGTCCAAGGCAAGGCGACACAAGACCAGAGGTGAGAGAGTAAGGTAAGGATGAATGTTAGGGGACGGGGGTAATTAGATTGAGAGCTCACATGGTCCACAGGTGTTGGAATTTTGGGACAAACGCTAGACAGGGTGAATTCTCCCGGAAACCTCCAACAGCTTCTAATGAAGAGCCCATTGGGATAAGGGCCTGGCACCTTTCGATTTTATAAGAACGTGTCAGCAGCCCAAAGAGGGAGCTATAGAAGCTGTCATATACCCTAATACCCGTTTTTCTCCTGCTAATCGTTTCCATGCAGCGTAATTAACCTGCATCCCCCACATGCCCTACCTACCCTTCGGGGACTCAGCAGCTTTGGGAAAGTTGTAGGACATCCGTGGGCATGACATCCGTGGGCATAAGATCAAGAAGGAGTGGAAATGTGCGTATGTGTGGCTTCGGTTGCTTCGGGCCAGTGTTCCCTTGTCTGGTGGTAGATATAACTTCCCCTTTTTTTTTGCGCGAATTGGTGTCTTTGGTGACTTGTTGGTTCTTTGGTCCGTGGTTAGGGGATTGGTCGCTTGCTGGAAGGATTCGGGGCGTGGTTAGTCTACCCAGCGTTACGTGACCAGTGACCGGATTCCAGAAAGATCTGGGCCTCCCGCCTGCCGGCAAATTTATATCAGGGACGGCGGGGATTGAACGTTGGATTGCGGGGGTGGAGACGTAGGCGTTGGTCAGTACTCTTGGTCTAGTGGCAATCAATATCAATATTTGGAATACTACTCGAGTAGAGGCTTTTGCGGGGAGGAACGAAAGACGGAGACGGAAGGAGACAATTTGGATGAGGCCCGAGATGGAAGGTGCAGTGTCGAATATGGGAGGAGGTTGACGTTAATGATAGGATTTGTACATGTACATGTGTAAAGATAAATGAAAAATGGCTACATAGATAGGAATGCATGTGATGGGTGCGATATTATTGACAGCAGAAGTACTTCTGGTTGGTCGTGTCAAAGTCGGTCGGAGGTGGAAGCGATAAGGTTCACGTAAAAGCTACAGCCATAGCCACCAAGCCTCAACCTCGATGAGTCGACATCGTGATAGTCTCTCGACGCAGATCCCGTCAAGAGTATGATGATCGATTGATGACGCCGTGCTCGCAGTGTCTATCATTTACCAAATCCCATCCGCAACCCGAGGCTCATCATGACGTGAAGTTTGCGACCCTAGCCCGCCCGATCGACCAGAAATCATGTTGTACCGCCGCACAGGTGCACCGCGATAACCTCATTTTTGGCCCAACTCGTAACTTCAATCCGCTTTCGCCTTTGGAGATGCCCATTCCGCACCTCTTCCCACCTCAGCGCCACCATCTCATCCATCATTCCATCCTCAGCTCTTCTTCACGATGCAGGACGAGCCCAACACGGTAATGAAAAGAGGTGTCGCGTTACTCGGAGGCAGTGTAATACCGAGAACACAGTAGGAAGAGACACAGGCAAGCCTGGCGGTCTCTCCCTGAAGGACAAAAATAAGTATAATCTTTGTGTTGCCCGTAGGCAACTTTCAGAGATTAAACTGAAAAGAACAGATACTACACTTGATCTAAGCCAATAGGCAAAGAGAGCTAAAGGGAAAAAGGAAAGGATTTCGGTGGGAGGGCCATTGAGTATATATACTTGGTCCCTGCCACTAGTGCCGGGGGAAGTTCGGGGAAGAAAATTAATGTTGACAGGCTGTCACGTGAAAGTTTGGGTTTGATCATTTTTGAGTGCCTTGTGGCCTGAGGTTAGCATCTCACTACAGTACGAGTACTCCAAACTAGGAAGGATAAATCGAAACTTCCAACTCCATCGTTATACATGAGTATTTATTCTACTTTTAAGTCCGCGATACCCTCAAGAGAATGTCATCTTTTCAATATGTTCCTTCTTCTACGCAAACTGGGTCCTCACTTGCTTTTTGTTTTATTTTTGGCTGCCGAGGTTCATCCTGAAAATCCTTGAGACTATTGCGCTGTCACTGGCCCATCAGCAGTTAAATAAAGACTGAAGTAGACATGTTTGGGCTTCGTCGATCTATCTTGAGATTTGCTTGGCTGTCACAATCCACTCATATCACAATTGAGATGCGATGGAGTCCTTGAGTTGAAATAATTGCTGCCCCCCTCAAAGGTCTGGCTTTGGGGAGTTCAATCCAACATAGTCCCCATCTCTCATTTGTACACCCTAGTAAAGCTGAGAGGACCAATCGACTAATTCGTCATGAGTGAACTCTCCGTGGCCGTCGCCGCTCTTGTCGTGGCTCTCGTTGCTCTTGTAACAGCCTTTGGTCAACTCCTTCAAGCCTACTTCGCGACAGCGGACGGCTGGCGTCGTTGTCAGTCGTCAGTCATGGGTCTCTGGTCAAAAGAAACCAAGCTTCGATGGCGGTGGGCAGAATTCAGATTCGAGACCTATTTTATGATTCCACGCATCATATATCGAACTCCTATGGGCCTACCAAAAAACGGCGTCGTCGATGGAGAGGTAGCTCTGACAAATTCTCCAGCGAATCTAGATGCCAGTATGACGTTGCCAGGCTGGGAGGATAAGAAAGCGCGGGCTTACTACAACAGTGATAATGTTTGTTGTTGGGTTCCTCTTCTTGCCCATCTCCATAGGCAGGGTGGTAATATCGTGACGGATTTCATTCAACATGCTGGCCCGAGAACCACTTCCGTTTCTCTACCGACCATCCAGTTCATTCGGAAGTCGTGGGATTTTATGCCTACGGATGTTGTCAGACCAATGGCAAGTACAACAGTATCTGATATTGCCATAATGGCACGAAGACTGGGCATGGTATGGAAGAAATTCGACCCTGGAGAGGCTATGCGAGCAGAGGGGAATGGTCATATTTTCACCTCGTCCATTGCTCGATCACTAGGAATCATACTCCAATACTCCTTCACAGCTCGAACCAAGAACGATAATTCCTTCTACATCCCCGTCATTCAAGCCGATAAACTAGGCTTTGGACTTGTCGAGTTCGATCCTTCTCTTTTTGGGGAAATGGATTTCGATCTTGATATCGGGTCTTTCGCTGGATTTGCTCAGAGCCTCACACTTTTATTCTCAAAACATGGGGATAGTTGGGATCGAACGGAGCCAATGATGTTTTATGTCAGATCTGAAATGCAGAACGGTGATCGGAGCTTCATCCGTGGATTCAATGATTTACTTCCTCTTTGCTCGCGGTTGTTGGTTTTGCCTTGTCCGACGATTGGGTTGATGGATCGCATTCCTGCTCCAAATACATATCATACCGGCGTCACCTCATCTCGTGCCGGATTCCAAGTTTTTACCAAGAAGCTCCAAGATTTAGTATCTGAACGAGGCGCAAATGTGAGCCCACAACTGGAGCTCATTCTGAGATATTGTTTACACCTGAACTCCAAGGAGTACGATGACCTATGGCACTCCGGCTTTCTCGACGGCGACGCACAAATCCAAAAACACAAACTACAACTTCGCAATCTTCTGATCGGCTATCACACTGAGATGACCGCCTTCCTCCAAGAAAATAAAGTCATCTACGCACGTTTAGTCATCGAACATATTCTCTCGGCAACCCTACCCGCGGAATCCGATGCCCCACCTCCTTCAGTCAATACAGGTCTCTGGTCCGAGGATCTCAATTGGCGACATGTTGCCAGCATGGAGGATTACTTTAAGAATCTCCCCGATGTTGCGAAAAGGGTTGTTAAGCAACATGCCTATCATCTGGCGGAGGCGGAGGCGGAGGATGCGTGGCTCGCGATGATTTTTAGAGCTTGTTGTTGGCAGAGGTCGCATTGTATGATTTTGAATGTTCCACCTCTTCCTTCGGAGTATTGGGATAGTAAGATGCCTGTTTATATTGGGTAGGATTTGATGGACCTTTCTGTTCGTAGGTACATATATTACGAGAAGATGCTTTCGTTCTTTTCTTCTTCCCGAATCGAACTTGCCGTTTCGCATATTTTGAGAATTCAGCCTCTTCCCAACCCTTATTTGCTCTTCCCGTTATAATATTTGCATCCACCACCGGAAGAGGTGTGTAGCTCACATTCCCAAGGTCTCCAGCTTTTTTCACGAATGGACGTCACATTATACACATTTTTCTTCCATCACGTGTTTACGTCCTGGGGTAGTCTAGTTGGGTGTCATTGTGCAGCTTGTGCTACAGCACTTGAGATGTACAAAATATCCGTATTAGTACCGCCATATGAGACTTCACTGCTTTTTTAGTGTCGAAGATGTGCTTTGAAAACGTGGCATCCTCACTGCACTGCTTTTCTTAGTTTTCTAGCGTTGGTGATGGCCTTTAAGTTGATGCAGGGGCCCGTAAGTGAGTGATCGCTGTTACAGACTTACGACGTCACCTCTACACTGCTTTCTTAGTATTAACGAAGGGTCTTGGAAAACGTGACTCAGCAGACATACGGTCGGCGAATCGGTCACTGCTCAATTAGTATCGACGAGAGTAGTAAGATACACTGGCATTTGTGTAGGACCCAGAAATCGGAATCGCCGCTTGGACTGAAGCGAGCGTAAAGAATGGACTCAATGGAAAACAAATTGATATTGTGCACAACGAAGGTATCACTACTTCCCAATAGCCGACAAAAAGACATGCTCAATGCTTTGGTCTCACTCAAAGCTGGACAAGAATGGGGTTCATATGAAATTAATTGCTTAAAACCGTCTATCCCAGGCCGTGACAATTAGACCCAAGCGCCTATTCTCCTCTCCCCTCTCCTCAACCCAACCCAACTCCCTGTATCTTTTTTCATTCACTAACTAAGCCGTCTTCTTTCCTGGTATCCTATTACTTGACAATCCAAAAACGCCATTATAACCAAAACCGCACAACTACCTCTGCATCTTTCTTCCCCTCAAAATCGCCCAATACCAACCCTGAAGCCATGAAGGGTCAAGCTCGCCTCTGGTACTCATTGAGGGAATATCTATGACTCCTAACTATTCATGGTGTCCCTTAGGAACCGTCTACTGAGGAGGTGGCTGAGCAGCAGCGTCCCTAGGAGGAGCTGGCTCTGGAGTAGTGTCCTTTGGAGTACCTGGGGTAGCGTCTTTTGGAGTAACTGAGGTAGCATCCTTAGGAGCCTTGGTACCACCGAGCATTCCGTTTTTGAAAGGGTTGTACTTCTGGAACCTTGGCTTGTAAGGGACGGATGGCTTGGATTGAGGTGGGCGAGCCGAGTTGATCCAAACTGGTCTCTTTGACGATTTTGGGAGCTTCGTCCATGGCTTCCACCAGGAGCTTTTCTTCAGTGGCTGAATGAACGGTACCGGTCCCTTCACATTATTTTGTTTGTTGAACCAATGTGGGCCTCGGAGTCCTTGAATCTCTTCTCCTTTTTTGGGCCTGAGACCATGGATCTTCTTCAGCACCGGTGCTAGTACTCCGGTTGGGGGTGGGGGTGCTGCTCTCTTTTCAAGAGCTTCGTTGGCCTCGTCGATGGTTGATGAGAAAAGGCCGTCGGAGGATTCAACGTCTCGACGAGTGCTCAGCCAGGTAGCTGGTTTGGCTGGTAGAGGAGTTCGAGTGGCGAGGATGGCGATCCCGCCTTCGGGTGCTGGAGTTGGGAGAGCATTGACCGATAAAGCGGATGCCAGGAGGACGACGGTTGAGAAGTTGATGAACTGCATGGTGAAAACTTAATTAACGAGTGCCTCTATAAACGAATGTTGGTTGAAAGTAAAATTTAACGAGTGTGGGTAAAGAATGGAAGTAAAGAAGGCAAAAGCGCAAGAAAGGAAGGCGGATAAGAAGAAAGTGAAGAGGATGGAGAGAGAAAGTTTTCCTTTGCAGACTCTAGCAGTTATATATATTCATTCTGGTTTCTAAATCGGACAGGAATGATGGTATTTCGCGGCTTGCCGCATCTAAGAATAGGAAGTATTGGAGCATCAGACGAAAGAAGCCTCCGCATTTTTCTGGAAGGGCTTGGTATTTTCATTTTCCAACGCGGCTACCAGATGCCGTCTCTCTAGTGGCCAAATTTGGGTTTTCAGTGGGCCTCTGATAGCAAAGTCATTGCTCCGTAAATTCGCCTGCTTATCGGTAGTGCATGGTGGCATTGGCGAAGCTGCATGTTTTATGCGCATCGAGGGTGCCACTAAAACGTGAGTATTCTTAGGCACGTGTAATTTCCAACCGGAAAACCTAGTCGTAGGTTTTCTGTGGAGGTCCACAAAAGCGCGGGAAGCACGAGCGTGTTTCTATTCACGAGTGTCGTTGACTCTGGAACTGTATACTTGGCAATCTTGGCCCAGGACGAACCTTCGTAATTTTCCTGGTACAAAAGAAACTGGTCCCTAGATTTGCCTTGATGGACTATCTGTGAGGCAATTGTTGCTTTGAGATGATAAATGTGAGAATTTTGTGATTCTTTTCGGCACATAGTTACGAGGTGATGGACGTTGAAGAGTTGGTTGTGGTATTGTGAAGGGTTCACTTGATAATTGCGGCAATTTGACACAAGTCAAAACGGATGAAATAACAAGTAAATGGTTTGTATGTGCGCAGAGATGCAATGATGTCATTGGAAATCAAATGCACGCAAAGAACTGACCGCTTCATAGATCCTCTGTGGACTCGTTAATCGAAGAAGAATCTTGTGGAACTGAATTCTGTTGATAAATTGTTTGTAGCTCAAAATTCACAGGTTGTAAATTCATTGATTCTCCGAGAATTCTATGTATAGAGATTACCTTCTTTCGCAATTTCTGTTTAATACCAACCCTTTGCTAGCGAAGCGAATGGCTGGCTCGGCTGGTCATTTAGTTGTTTCGCTTAATGTTTGTGAAAAATTCATTCTCGTATTCACCTAACAAACACCATCAGCCAATCGCCTCTGCAAACAAGATATAACCTACTAATTTTTCGCCCCCAAAAAGCCACGCATTCCCCATTCGTAACTATCCCTATAATTAAAAAACCAAAAGCATCCAAAAAAAAACAGCAAAAGTTCAGGATACTCTTTGGCGGGCCATACCGCTACCTCAATGCATCCTTAATCTTCCCCCTGTCAGGCCGCTTGAAGAATACTCGTAGGCTGGCGTAACCTACTTTCCTTCATCTCACTTTCACTCCGTACAGAGTACCATGTTATCGTAGTGCCTAGACGGAGCAGTTTATAATCAGTACTCTTAAACTAAGCCTTTCAGCTGATTTACTAGATGTCACATATTTACCATTAAGTTAGCGGAGTATATACATCAAAGAGAAGATGCCAAGGAATCTCAAGTTTATTGTTTTATTGTTTGAGTGCGTGGGGTGGGGGGTATTGCCACGGTGGCTCCCGCAAGCGATGGGGTGTCGTTAGTAGAAGTAGGGACCCGAGGGTGGATATAGTAGAAGCGTGGATGGGCAATTGCACTAAGAGATACGGGCCCGGTGGATGAGGGCGAAGCTACATAGTACTCACGATAACAGAGGAATAATATGAGGAGGTACTCCAGTTGAATTTCAAGCAAGCGATTTTAGTGACTTATCACTTTCGCTTATGTATAGGACCGACGTAAAAATCCAATGAATCTAGGAAATACGACTAGACTTGCAGAGAGCGCTGCAAGTGTTGCTATTACTCCTCTAAGCAAGAGATACCCTTGTGATACTATTTTGAAATTCATTTCTTCCGGAGATTTGTGAGAACTACTCGATTACTAAGAGGTTCCATACGACTGGCCTCTACAGAATAGATGGATTTAGAAAGAATAGAACGCGTTAATTCTAGCTGGCAGCTAGAAATTTAGGGCAACCATATTTGGATTAATCAGAAATCTTCTTTTACTAGTTTATCTATGATGCTTTGAAATCACTGTAGGGGAGCGAAAGCTAAAGGAATTTGCGCATCTTAGAAATGGCATTTACAAAATCCATCGAAACGCACTCTTTATTACGAACGATAACCCGGTATTCTTCCTCCTGAAGACCATCGTTTCCTACGATGAATACGGTTCTCATACATATTGTGTATACGCGGAGATAGATTACTAATCCATTCGTGTGTAGTTGGGGGTTCTTCGTACCTGCACACAAATCCTCTTTTGATAAATCCCCAAACCAGGCGCAGTAACGAAGCCTAGAACTATGGGTTTGATGTATCTTGTCATTTGATTTGCTGTAATACAGTACCTTCCGTGAACAGTTGAAAGGCTTGAAACTTATTTGTACCTTATTAAAGATTCAGGTAAGTTTTGAATCAAGTCAAAGCTTTACTAATTGTTAAACTCATGTAAATAATTCTTTGGACATATAATTAAGGTGCCCACAGTTTATTCTTTCCCGATCAAAGCTTTCGCAACTCCTACTGTTGTTATGTATACGGCTGTAGTATACATACGTACGTAATTCTTCCACAGGAAATCTATTTCTTTAAAAAGTCCGTTAAAGTGTAGGAAAGTTGCACAAACGCGCCGTTTTAACGGCGGTATCTCAAGATTAGTTAAGGATTTTGGAAATGTAGCTCTTTTCAGTTCTCCCATTTGACAAAGCCCCTTGGATATTTTTTCTAACTTGCATAGCGAGCGTATTTGTGTAGTACATTAGCCCCTCTTTTATGATAATAGAGACAGATTGAAGGTATACGAGGTCACTTGTCTGTGATATTACTGAAGTCCTCTGAATCTTGCAGGGACTAGGGAGAAAACAAGGCTTTACACTAATTTTAAACATGCCGCACTACGTAGTTTATTCCTCTTGGGGATTCACTTGAAACTAAATATAATGAGATCTCAATAGTATTACAGACGACAAATTTGATTTAACTATCACCAATAGTACCTTGCACCGTAATCGAGGGTTTTCCCTTTCACTAAAATTGAATTTATTAAGTAAGCTTCAAGTCCGTATCTCCTTTCTAGGCCCATTGATTTAATTGTCAAAACTAGTTTAACGTCCCTATTAACAGCAGAACAAAGCAATCCTGAAATCATGACCCACAATTCACCACTTCTACCCATCTCTCAACAGTTTTGATTAAAACCACAAACCAAACGCAGGTTTATTGAAAAACGCTAATCCTGAAGGGCAATAACCACTAAAACGTAAATAAAGTAAAAATCGTAAAAGGCCACAATTTTCACAGTTACCAGAGCCAATGGACGAAATTGTGTTGTTAAATTTAACGTAAATATCTCAGCTAATGTAAACAAGTAGTGCACTTATTATAATATCTAAATTGACACAATCCACACCTTTTTACTAGAGCCTTCCAAGGTTTCCAATTCCTCTTATGCTCGAGTCACATGACATGCTTTCCTATTCTCACTATCGTAAACTCTCTCCCGTGAAGCCTAGGTATCACATAGAGCCTATATCCTACCGTAGTATCAAGAGTAAGAGAGAGAGAGAAAAGGCGGAGGAGCAGGGGACATAATACGGCAATCTTCCCTCGCTTGATTCTCGCCCCTGATACTTCTAAAAGGTAACCGAATTTGTAACGAAAAACTTCAATTTTTTGAACATTCTACTACTCCCAAATCGGATTGAGTACTAGAACTTGAAGTACATAGAATGCGATCGTGGCTCTTATTTTCCAAGTCACAAATCACTTAGCGATGGACAGTTCTCTCCAATTCAGTTCAATTATATTATCCTCCATACTCTTGCTCATTAGAAAACTGGTATCCAAAATGTCCAGGCCAAACAACTTCCAACGTACCCCTCTGCTTGTGAAGATAACACAGGGAGAAATACCGCACCTATTACCAAGACGTTCAATACCACCCAAAGAAACACAAATCCAACTCCTCATTATCCTAGCTCTCCAGTGCTTTGAATACCAAAATTTCGTGAGTCTCTCCAAAAGCCTCGTTGCAATCAAAACCCTAGTTGAACTTTGGAGGGGCGATTTAAGCTGGGCCAACTGGTAGGGCTTCTGGCTTAGGCTGGGCTTCTGGCTTAGCTGCCAACGGGCTTCCTGGCGGGTTTTCTGGTTTGGCTGCTGGCTTCTTTTTACCCCATGGCCAAAACAATTCTTTCAACGAAGGATTCTTTGGCCACTTTTCTATGGGTTGATTTTCCCAGAGCCATTTATCCTTTCGTGACCTTGACATTCCTGGCTTAGACTTGTCAAGCTGGAGTTTGAAGAGTGTTTCCCAGATTTCCCGTGACTCTGGACTGAGTTTTATGTCATCCACTGCCTCCTTTATAACCTTTGGGCTTACAGGTGGTATAACACGGCGGGCGAGAGGAGCCTTTGGGAGCGCCGCGGCAGGCTGATGCTTAGACTGTTTGGTAGCTGTCAAGACGTTCTTGACCTTGGCCCAGTTCTTTCCAACCTGTGATAAGTCAGCATTCTGGCGAGTCTTAGCAAGCGTAGGGGACAGGACAGCTGGGTCGGCCGCTGGTTGAGGCTTAGAGTGTTTGGTGGCTAACACGACATTTTGGAGTTTGGCCCAGTGTGGTTCAACGGATCCAGGGTTGGGAATCGGTATCCCAGCAACCAAGGTGGAAAGAAGTGCGGCAGCAGCAAGGGCGTTGGGAAGCAACATGTCGAAAAGGCTTGATTTAGCAGTGAACGGTTTGGAAGAAGGCCAAGAACGAGGGCGAAAGTGAATGTAGTAATGCAAAACGGATGTTGTGGTTCGAAAAAACAAACCCCCGGAGAAATGAAGAGCCCAAGAAAAAAGAAAGAAAAATCCCAAAAGTGGGAAGTGAGAAGGGTGGTGAGAGATCAGGAATCAGCGAAGAGGACTTCTTTCTTATACAAGGAACCTCTGGACCTTATTTCCCAGTACGTACCGTACGAAGTAAAAACCCAACCATCAGGGTCTAGGTGGGGGACGATGATGTGATGTTATCTCTTCTTTAAAGCGCGATTATTGGCCAGAATGGTGTACCGGTATTCAACTTAGAAGTAGCTCAATCTTGAAAGCTCAATGCGACTTTTCCTTCCCCCCATACTTCGTACAAGCCTCAAGAGTTTTACGATACCGGTATTCTGCTGTTTTGGCCAGTAGGAGCTCATGGTGAACACTGGAAGGGTTTACGGGCAAATCCGTTGATATCCAGTACTGTAGCCCCGCGCTCACCATTACAAGTGACGGTAAATGAGCATATCTATAAATAGAAACCTCGCGAAGTGCTCAAGTAATTTACCCCCACGAAGAAAAGGCTTAATGAAACTGTTAAGGTTAAACACTGTCACGTGAGCCTCATGCTGCAAAAGTCCATGTATTTTACTCAAGTAGACCCATTGGGAGTCTCTGACCTGGTTATGTCAATAATTGGAGCCAGCCCGTAATACACACCGGGATCAGCTGCTTGGTCAACTCACATACCCATTTGCAGACTCGCGAGGCATCTCATCGCGAAAACCAACATACATTCAATTCAGACTCGCCTTTCCCAGTCGGAAGGATAATTTGAGACCAATGCACGCGTTTTTAACCTCATGGTATTTTCTTCTAGGACTTGAAGAAACGCATTTTGCTCTCGCCATATGGATGATGGATCTCGCCACTGGAGATCGTGGAGAGGGAAAATGCGGGCACGCGAGGGCCGATCCAAAGATACTTAATCCCTGCACTTTGAGCTTAAAAGTGCTCCGCTTCTCAAGTCTTCGGAGATGGCACCGTAGAATTGCTCGCTACCGAAACGACTCCATATGAATATCGTCAAAACTCGATACAGGGGTCCAAGGTGTAGAAGTACTTCGTAGATGCCTTACTTTTGGTCTGAAATACACCAAAATCCCCTTGCTGAACTTCTTTCAAGGTAAATTTACGTCAGAACTTGGAGTACCGTAGTAAATTGAACTTGACAAGTACGCTAGTTTTTGGGTGGAGTGGTGGGTGGATAGTACCAAAATTATCTGTAGACTCTGAGTGGCCAGAAGTCTGCGGCGAAGGCCTGCTGGGCCTTCTTTTGCTGTGTGAAGATCGTGGTTGAACTGTTTTAACTAGGGACCCGTCGCCACCGTAGAAAACTGATCTCTAAGTGGCCTGAATTTAACATGGCGAGCCTCTACCCTATCCACCCACCACTCCACCCAAAAACTAGCGTACTAGTTAAGTTCGATTCAAAGGGTCTGGACAGCTCGCGTCGCCCCCTCCCCTGTATACGACTTGTTATAGGCAGGGTATAACTCCACAATATAGCCTACTAAGCTAATTGAATTGTCCGATTCATGTGGAGGTATATCAGAAAGTGACAAGGGGGGGGGGAGACCCGAGCTGTCCAGACCCTTTACTACGATTTACGTTCATATGGTGAGTGAAAGTGGATTTTACTATCACGTCGGGGCCTTTTTCTGGCACTTGCGGCATTGATTCCCATTCCCTTGGAAATTAACCTTGGAAGTCTTTATACTTTACGAAGTAGTACCCACTTTGGACTGGAGGCATCGATTAGCGCAGAATAAAAAAGCACGGACTATTAAATCTTGGACCTCAGCATCGGTGTTTTGATGGTGTTTGTAAATACGACAACATTCTGGCATTAGCGACGACCAGCGAGGTTCTTGAAAATCAAAACAAGCACGCTAGCTATAGCTCGCAAATTTACTTACTTATGTTCTCTTGAATAGCATACTGGAGTATACATGAAATATTCTAGGCTTCACCTATAATTGTTCATTTGTACTAGAAATGTTCGAAATGTTCGAGAGCCAGATGTAAGATTATACTTTCTAAAATTAAACCAATGAGAGCTATCTTGTTTCTCAAGTGTACTATTGATCAGGGACGTTATTAGATATACTAACGTATTCTTCTTATTTAGATCGGAGTCTACTTTGGTTCCGGAAATAAATATTTTTGCTACTACGTTTGTAATTATTGGACGGATCTGTCCTTCGTTCAAGGTAACTCTGGGCCTCTGGCGTGGTTACGATAATGTAAATTTACCTACCGTATCACAGGTCATGTGACTTTGTAAACAATGCCACTGCCACTTGACCAGGTCTTTTGTACCTATGTATCATGGGGTTTCGATTTGTCGAAAAGCTGTTTTTTGGGTTTTACTTCGTTGTTACATCCAAGTAGTGGTTTCTCTGCATTTGATTGCAATTGTTTGGTGTGATCCGTCAGCCACAGCTCATGCAAAAAATGCCTTGTTAGCGCGCCAACGAAGGACGCTGTGAAACGTGATACAAATAGCTAGACTTTGTCTACTAGAGTTTTGTAGAATTCATTTATTTGGTAGTGGGAATCGGTTGATGCGAGATCATTCAATTGTAATCTCGAGTACTGAGGCTGCAATCTCTTGCTGTCGGGCCAGCCAATAGAAAACTCAGTAAAAGTTTACGGAGCTGGATTCAAACAATGGCTTCTAAATCAAGTACTTTCTTTCGTAAGTCTCTGAGAAATTTGGTTCTTTTATTTTCAATTGCAATCAAGACAATGGACAATATCTTTGTACCTTTGTGAATAATTTTATGTTTACTCGTACTCACAACCCTCCCCTTGCCTCTTCGCCTAAAGATTCACCCCACAACATAAGATGATTGGCGAGTAGACCCCTGTACGGTACCCCAGACCAATTCCTGCTGACGCGACGTCACTTTACCGCCGATCTTGCGTCAGACTCTCTCCAATCTCTTTTAACAACATCAGACGGTTGAAACTTGTTTTTCTCTTATTTGTCTTCCATTTTGGGCTCTCTGTACTAAATTTGGAAGGTGTGCTCTTTCAGAACTGTCAAGTATTTAAGTCAGCAAAGACCGTGATTGGATTCTGATTGGTGGGGAATCACAAAGGGTCTGGAGAATAATAAGTAAAGAAGGCCATTGTACTCAAGTACCCGTTATCTTATGGCTGCAGTTGTGAAGTGGGAAGCGAACCCGAGGGTATGATAGGAACAAGGTCTTTGTTCCTGAATCATGGATAAATTGAACGGGTCTTCCAATGGGTTGGTTCCTTTCTTATCTTTGAAAAACTTTTGACAATAATTACAACGAAACTTCACGATACACACGAATCGAGTACTGTCACGTCAACTTTAATAAATCAATTCTGGAAATTGAAAAACACACATTAACGAATAAAACACGAGCTTCAAAACGAAACTAAACTTACGATTTAAATCAAACAAAATGAAAGTTCCAACGACTCTTTTACTTCTTGCTCCAGCTACGACTTTGGGCGCTGTCATCACGATAACGCGCACAGTTATTGCAACTGTTGGGCCGGAAATCCCAGAACCAACGCAAGCCGCACCTCCAAATAATATTCCATCCGTTCCAGTTTACAGTGGGAACCGCAATAGCGTCCCTGCTAATGGTGGTAAAGCTGGTGGAGGCCCTGACTTCACCGATGATGCAGCATTTCAGAACGATGTTTTGGCAGCACACAACTTCTACCGAAAACAACACGGAGCCGGAGATCTGGTTTGGAACGAGACCGGTGCGCAATTCGGCCAAAAATGGAGTGAGGCCTGCGTATTCAAGCACTCTGTAAGTACCTATGGCCCCAATGTAAATGAATCATGCCAACAAAGAAAATAGGGCGGACCAACAGGCGAGAACCTCGTTGCAGGGCCACCAAACGCAACCGCGTCCATCGACCTCTGGGGTCAAGAGCGTAGTCTCTTCGACTTCCAATCCGGCGGTTTCAGCTCCGGAGCTGGACATTTCACACAACTAGTCTGGAAGGCTACTACCTCAGTCGGCTGTGGGCGCACAACTTGCAATGGCAAGGGAGGAACTCCTGGTACTTATGCGGTCTGTGAGTACTATCCTCAAGGAAACATTGTGGGAAGTAACAACAAGTATTTCCGCGATAACGTTGGGGCTCAGATTCAGGGGAAGCCAGATGATAGTGCTGTTGCCGCTGCAGTCGGAGCTGTTAGCGGGTAAGCAGAAATCCATTCTTTATTCATTCTTTCTTAGACAGTTAAACTCGGGTTTTATAATATTTGTTGTAGAAATGGTTCTCGACATCCTATTTTCGTTGATCGAAACATGGAACTCTGTACTGATTTCTGGAAATAGTCAGAGTGTTGGAACCGGAGATGTCAGTAGTGGAGCACCAAGTCTCACTCGATCTACACCTTCGACTACGACACGTTTTATCACTACTTCAATCTCTTCACTATTGGGTTCTTCAACTTTGACGCCTGCTTCTGCTACTTCTTCGGTGGTGGCTGCTAGTGTTGGAAGAGCTTTCAGGGAGAGTACGGGTGTGATTCTTCTTACCGTTGTAATTGCAGTTGTGCTTGAAGTGGGGATCTAGATATAATAGATTCCTGGAAGACAAAGCTACGATGTGGATATAATGGGGAATTTCAGATGTGAGGGGAGTTCTTGTAGATATTTTTTTGTGTCAGATACCCTGTATGTTTTTCCGTCTCTTTATGTACGAAGGAGTTTACGAATGATGAATTATTTTTTATGATATTTTCTGCTTTTGTCGGCCTTATTGTGTGCTTTTGTCGTATGTTGCGGTCTTGTTCATCTCAGAAAGTTTATTTCCTTGCTCGTAAGCTGTACTGTGCTCCTCTGAATGGCGAGATCATTGCCCTCAAACTTGCTCTCTCTTTTTTGGGACCTTAATTATTATGCCATATGAACTATCAAAGAGTGATGGACTAAGAAGGGTTAATAAGTGTAGACGAGTTGATAAAAAATGTGAATAATGGCTATTACGTTGCCATGAGTGCTCAGAGCTTAAGTTACCTCACCTCTGTTCCCCTAAAATTGGATTGTGATTTAATTTAAAAATTCTAAGGTAGGTAGGTGATGTAACACTAGAATCTCTACTGCATGACCCTTTCTAGCTTCAAGCTAAGGGGAGAACAGCGTGTGTTACTGTATGATGTCAAATCAAAACAGCTATTACAATATCACTCATAGGTCCTGAAATATCTAATTCACTGGGAATCACCTCAGTGAGCAATGGATCAGGGTTTAGACAAGCACGTGACCAGCTAGTATTAAGTCTAAGGTGTTCTACGATTCACACGCATAGCTAAGGTTGTAGTCTGGTCTAAGCTCCCTACCTAGCTAATTTGGGACTAGTGTATCTCGTTATAAACATTTCCATTAGTTTTAGCATATCTATACAATTTGCGTTGTTTAAGTACTTAACCAAATAATGAGAATTGAATATTATTACTCTCCATAGATTAAAGAAATTAATTTTGTAGAGTAAGTTTATATTTATATTACATTAACAATTTTTGAACTATTTAATAACAGCTTCTATTGAGATATCTGAGAGGTATAGGAAGTGATATCAGAGGAGGCTGAAGGAACGTTAGGTGAGTCTTGTGGACAAGGCTGGCCATTAAGGGGCACACGCGTTCGCTAAATCTGCTCACCTTCTTCCTCCACCTTACCATATATGTTCTTCAATTTGACACAACATCTTTGCCTGATCGTTTATTAAGGTAAGAGGCTTCTACCAGTAACCAGCACCTATACTGACTTTCGCATTCATTAGCGCGATGGACTCCGCGAACCAGAACGCCTCGCCAGCGAAAATCAAGGAGGAGGTAGCTGGCAATCCTGCTGCTACCTGTGAAGGCCTCATGGCCAATGGCTCGCAAGATCCCATACCACCACCCACTACCATGAGCAAGGTTACTTCGAACCCAAAGCTCTCCAAACCAGTTCTCACAGACAAGTAAGTCCTGCTCAACCCTCTCTTTCGCGACCATGCTAATTCTTCCAAGGTCCTCAAAGGAGCTTATCACCCTTCTTTCTGGCCCGCCAACAGGCCTGGGCAAGTTCGTCGTACACAAATGTTTCGCTGTTCATTACTCGCCTGTTCTGAAGGCAGCTTTTGAACACCAAGCTACAGCTGTACTCAATCCCTTAGGAAATACCTACTCACTTGATGAAGAGGACAAGACAACCACTGAGTTTCTCGTTCAATGGCTCTATACACAAGATATTCAGCCAGCGCAACTCAAACCAGACGCTACATACAACTGTGCTGAAATCCTCTCCATCATCAAGTTGTGGCTCCTGGCAGAAAGACTGGTAATACCCTCTCTCCAAAACGCAGCAATCAAGAAGTTCAACGACTGTCTGAATCAATTCAAGATGATCTGTCACACCGAAATCAACTACATCTGGAGTGCTACCAAGGAAGGTTCCCCGTTGCGTCTATACTATATCGATGTGATGTTCTGCCTTAGCGATCAAACCTTTCCTAAATTGGTGGAGACTCTTGAAAAGAATGTTCTGGGTGATTTGTTTACCGCTTGTATGCTCAGGGTGGAAAACAAAAAGATGTACACACCAGGAAGTAATCTCTCAGATAGATACCTTGTGAGAGAAAAGTGAGGACGTCTGCATACGTGTTTCTCGGGGGCAATCCATGCAAGACACAATGCTTTGGTATTATTCATTGGTAAGCTCTTTTCTCTCATCCTCTTGACCATAGCTAATACATACTAGATGAATTTTGCTACTACAATGAACTGCTATTAGGATTGAGGAGAGATGTGGCTAGTCAATTGCATATATGTATGCGGCGTGAAGATGTCAATTGTTATTTTCTGCAGGAACTTCTGTAGAATGGTAAAGCACGAAATATAATGCATCAATGTTCACTGCCAAATCTTTTCTCTTCTCGATGCACAAGTGATTCCCTGATTTTGACCGCGAAATTACAGGAGATATAAGCACTATCTTTTGTATTGAGTCAACTCTCCACCTTGTGTTATTACCTGGTTTGAGATTTCATTTGATCAAGATCTTGCCTCTAGATCTCTTACAGGGTACTCTCACAACAAGGTATGGTATCTAAGCTGCGCAAAGAATACCACGAAATGATAGTGACGAGGGCAATTCTATGTATACTTTACTCCATGCCAGATCCACCCATGTCCTTTCCGTCAAACGCCTTACCCAATCAAGTCAAACCCTAAACCGAATTTCTTTTGTCAAAGACAGTGCACTTCGCTCTACGATCTCCCAAAGCATAAACAGAACCCAATTTCGCCCGTGTTCTCACCAAATTTCCATCTTCCGCCCCATCACCAGAAGTATGTAACTTCATGTTTCTGAAATGGAAAACATATATTGTACACCAGCAGCGAATACACCTCTACCATACACACCACTCACACCACTCACACCACTCAGCACTCAGCGCTCAGTCTCCTAACCAACCAACCAATCACATAACCCCCCTTCCATCATCCCCCCTCATCACACATTCCTCTTAAACCCCTCATCACAGAATCCCCTACAAATCCCTCGACCCATACTTTCCCTACATACTTACCATCCCCTGCACTTCCCATCCCGGTACCTCACTCCACCTCACTCTACCCACAAGCCCCGTCAAAAGCACAAATATAACCCTTTCAATAGTCGACACCTCACCTCAGCTCAGCTTTTACCCAACGTTCGGCAACTGGAATTCCATTCGGTTCCAGAGGCCTCCTCTGGAAGGATTCCATTCCATTCAGGGATTTAGTGGAAGTATTCTATTCCAGAGGTATATATTCCATGGAATATATGGAATTTCCAGCTGGAATCTGTCACATGACCGTCGACTAATAGGAAGTCTCCAGGGCCCTATTTATATTAGACAGTCCCGAGGTCAGATAACAAGTCAAATCACGTGAATGTCTACATAGGGTACGAGTATCGCAAATACTTCTAGAGTTGATTATAAAGGAACGTATTAGGTACTATTATATCTTCCTAGCTAGGTATTTATTTAATTCTCTAGGGCTATATAGCTCCTGTAATCACGTGTTTTAACTAGTCTGGAATTCCATGGATTCCATGGAATATGGTTCCATGCGCCGAACGTTGCTTTTACCCCAAACGTAAACCAGTTCCCAGTCCTGTTCCTAGGATCAGTAGCTACGGTGGCTTCAGACGGATGATTACTGAAAAAAGAGGATACATCGTGTGCTTGCGAATTCGGAATTCCTGTTCGCCGTCTTTGCTACCCTGGCTTTGGGATGAGAAATACTGTGAGAATTTGAAACGCTATTAGGCTCCGGCTTCCTTGAATGATTTTATGTATATCTCTCTCTGTGTGTGTCTCTATATATTCATACTACCCCTATCCTTAACCCAAATCTCAACTCGAAAAAAGAAACAACAGAGGTATAGTATCTAAGAATTCTTCAAGGTCCCTACCTACCTATTCATTTACCTACGTATACTCATCCTTTCCCACCCCAATCCCAATTCCAATCACAATCACAATGCCAAAAACTATCTCAACCCCACCATCACGCATCCTTATTCATCACCATCCCATCCCTATCAGACATTCAAAAAAGGAGTTCATCACTAAGCTATCCACTATCACCATTTCATTTCCTGTCTCGCAAGGAAAAATATGGAATAGGTACCGTCATTTCCCACCCTTCCAATCAGCGTAAAACTCCATCGCCAAAGAGAAGAAAAAAAAGAACAAAACAACGATAAGGAAATCGGATCCCCAAGAACGCCTTTCCTTGTGTATGCCTATCGGGAAACAAAAACTCCTTCCAGAAAAAATAGATTTTTCCTTGTCATCGAGAGGAGAGCACTGGTATTTGTGTAAAGTAGAGGTGGAGTGGAGACTAGGGCTTGTTCTGGGGCCATTTTTTACTTCACATCTTCGAGTCTCGGGTATAACTCTCATGTTGCATATAAATGCAACCCACCAACCAAAAACGAACTTGCGAAAAGAATCAATCAAGCAAGTTGTCCAAGTTTTTGCAGGACAGTCAAGACACCTACAATTCAATTAGCACAGCCGCACAAATCGATGACAGGGAAGGGAAGGGGAGACATACCAGTAACGCCCTGAGTAAGGGTATATCCAGCCTCAGTATTTCGACTTCCTAAGCTAACTGTGGTCACATGTTGAACTTTCTTATCTCTCTGGAGATCATTAGCCCAGCGGAAGATAACCTCGTCATCTCGACCATCACCGATGACGGTAAGGAAGTCGACAGGAGAGGGATTGGATTCGCTAATAGGGCCCATGGTTTTTTCTAGTCCTTGGAAGATCTGCATTGCTGCTGTGGCCTTGGACCAGTCTATTGGGGCTACAATTACGCAATCTGGGGTGGCTTGTTAGTCGGTGATATTAAGAGAGGAGATGTGTGATTTACCTTCTGCTGGGATGGCCTTTACTCTTTGTTGTTCGCAAGCATCATTGATGTGACTCGCGCAGTCACCTGCTTGACGACTTGCACTCTCTTGATCTTCACAGCTCTTGTAGTGAAAGATTAAGCTACAGTGGCGGCGTTCAATCCATGAACCAGGAGTGCGTTCATGGTAATATTGCATAATACCCTCGACAGATCCCTGCCAAGCATGCATAGCTTCCGGGTCAGCCATCTCGGCCCAGTTAGATGATCCAGCTTCCTTAAGGAAGCAACCATTCTCAGCGATGAGACCGAGGTTGGGAGCACGCTTGAACAGTCTATCGAGTTCTTCTGGTTGACGGCCAGACATGACATAAACGGTATTTCGTTCATCGGCAAGCACATCATTGAGCACGTCAAGAGTGCGCTAAATAGTGAGTATTTACTTATTATGTGGAAACCAAACTTACCTGAGGACTTGTGAGAATGATATCATGTGGCGAGCCCCAAGAAGCCAGAGTTCCCTCATAATCAAGAATGAAAAGTCGCTTATTGGATTTCTGGTATGATTGGGTCAAGGCGCTAGTTGAGAGTCGAGGAACTGAAGTTGTATCACGACGATGTTGCTCATCATAGACCTTGTCAAGTCTCGTGAGGAACATGGTAAACCAGTACTCGGCTGTGTGATGCATGACAGCTTCGTAGAGTTTTCCCCAACGAAGCTTCTTCTCGTCGTCGCCCATTTCTAACGCGGTCTTGATTGCCTCAGCACACTGTCGATAATCCCAAGGATTGACCGACAGCTCATGGCCTCCAAATACGGATGCACTTCCAGTAAACTCGCTGAGAATGAGTGACCCAAATTTGTTGTGCCCTTCAAACTTTCCATCTTGACAGAAGAGGTATTCATGACACGTCAGATTCATACCTTCGCGTTGACTAGCAATCATCAAAGCATCGGCAACTGTAAGCAGAGCCAAATATTGCGGGTAACTGATATCTTGTTTGAGGTACACAAGAGGTTGGTAAGCCAAGTTTGCCCATGATGAGTTGACTCTCGTCACAATATCGGATACGGTCGCATCGAGTTCTGCTTGGTCGGTGGTGGATGTTGCTACTTGAATCATAACCACGCGGTCTCGCCATTCCGGGTATTTGTTCAAGAACAGTTCGTATGCCAAAAGTTTTTGTCGAACTCCACGAACATAGTCTAGTTTGTCTCGAGCAACAATCAACTTTTTGCCGCGGTACCGGTCCTGCATGGTGTTCAACCATTCTGTAACATCTGGATCCGCACGATTCATATCCAGTGCGACTGGGTCGATACCGATAGCAAGGTTGACAACATCCACAAAACGGTCTTCCAATTGGACACCATCATTGGTTGCCTCGACACACAACAGTCTGCTGCATGTCTGCAGGAAGTGTCGCGCATACTCATGAATTTGGAAACCAATCAGATTGGCACCCAACATACCTTCCAATAGCTCTCTACGAACTGCCAAGCATCGGAAAACCTCCGAAGATGGAAATGCCACATGCAGGAAGAAACCGATTTTAGCATCTGGAAGCTTCTTTCGAATCATTGCTGGGACCAGGAGCAAATGGTAGTCATGAATCCAAATGACATCTCCACGCTTCCAATTCTTGATGATTTTGTCAGCGAAAGCCTGGTTGATCTTGACATAAAACACCCAAGAATGGTCCTCGTAGGCTTTGCTCTTGGGGTTATCTGGAATTTGGTAGTGGAAAACTGGCCAAAGAATTTGTTTGCAATAATGCGTGTAATGTCCATCGAAATCACTATCCTTGCAGAATACCGTCAGGGAATCGTATTCCGTAGCCAATCGGTCTTCAATGTCCTGCTTCTGCCGTGTATCCTCAAGAACATCTGTAGGCATACCTAGTGTACCGACCCAGATCTTGTCATTCAGATTTCCATTACGAACTGCAGCTTGTACCGCATTTCGAAGGCCCCCATTTCCCTGATCTGCAGGGACCACGGTCCATGGAGCGTGGGTAAATACACGGTCATGGCTATCACTTCTTCCACCAAGTTGTGGTTGACGAATTCCCGCTCTACCCAAAGCCGCAGCTTTCTCGGCAATCTTTGCGTGTTTGAGCAAGTCTGCTGGTGGTGGGGAGCTTGCGCGCGAAAGAGGTTGGGTAAAAAGTCTTCCGGTTCCCCACGCCGGCGAATGCGGATCGCTGGGTGCAATTATGGATCGTGGGCCGTCTGGCTTGGGGAAATGGGTGCGTGTCTCGATTGCATCCTTCTGGGCAAAGAATTCGTGGTAGTCAACATCTTTGGTCGGTGTTTGTGGAGGGGTGATGTCATGGTTGAACAGACTCGGTTTTTCGGTTGTGTCAATCTTGGTTGTGACTCGTCTGAGGGGCGCTGGAGGCTTGCGACCTCGACCAGCAGTTGTGGCATTATGGCTAGTATTGGGTCTGGTGGAGGGGAGTTCAAAGTTGATCGTGTTGGGGAGGAAACTGTGCAAAGACTTGGTTAGCAATGTATCGTTGTGCACTATATGGATATGGCACAAGTGGCATTATATTCCGGAATGAATCCCACAATTCAGCCATTGAACCATGATGCATTGGCAAGCAAATATTCGACGATCATTTAAGAGTATCTTGTTGTTCAATCTGGGAATAGCTGCAATTGTGGGATTCGAACAAGGAAAAAAGGATGAGGTCATCGGTAAAAAGCTTTGGGAGTTTTGGAGACTCACAGAGAAACCACAAAGACCGTCATATTAGAAGTTTGAGGGGTCGATCAGGTCCAGGTCGCAGAACAGAAAACAAAAAGGACAACGGGGTGCTGCCAAATTGCGCAATCATGAGCTGTAGAATAGGATTTTGGGAGAGAGCAGGTGGTGGGTTGTATATTGTAGGAGGTTGAAAGGAACTTTCGGAACGATGATGGAGGGACTGGTGGAGTGTACTAGGTGAATGGAGGTTAGGTATGGACCTCGAAGACTGGAGGGTCAGGATCTGCGGGGTTGGGAGTGGAGCAGGAGCATTCGTTCCTTTTTGTTTCCTAAGCCAAGCTGCCAAAGTTGCCTAGCTGAAGCTCAAAGGTTTCCTATCTGTACCCTACCGTACCCTACCGAATGGGTACCCTTACGCAACGCAACCCGGGAAGTCGCAGGTGGGTGGTGGGCGGACACTACTGTGGAGCAGTCAACTGTGCACAGCCAGTTCGTGGCCCAAGTTTGGAGGTTTGATGTTGCCGTTTTGCCTTTGCAGAAAGCTTGTTCTCGAAAGCTCCAGAAAGCAGCAATCGTCGGTATTGTGGCTATTGTGCCGATGGCTGTTTGGTACGAATAGCTACGTAGCCTTTTTGCAACTTACCAAGTAAATGTCTTAGAGGCGAGACGGGGAAACCGAAGGTTTTAGAGCAGGTAATCGAGGACAATCGCACGGTGGACGAGTTGTACAATGCAAACTGGCTTTTCTGCTTGCTTGCTAGCGCGCTGGTGTTCCGGCAGGGAATAGGGGAGCAGACGATGAAGCTTCCGGAGGACCGTGAGAGCTGATGATGGAAGCTGGAGTGGAAGACGAGGAAAGACGATAAATACTGTCGACGTCGCACCTTTGCCATTCAAATTCCGTCGATTTTTCTACTACGTCAGGCACATGCTACAGCTACAGGGCTGCCTCAGTTGACTGCAAGGCCATGGCATGACAAGGGCTTGCAGACTGCAGGTGGATGCAGCTGTCCAAGTTTCCTTGCCTGCGCTGGGAGAACATGCACATGCCTCCTATCATTGGGCATCATACTCATATAATTAATCTTGTGCTATAATCATCAATGCTGATTGAGCTGGAGCTGGCCGCTGGCAAGATAAAGTCCCGTGTCGGTAGCGGGTCGAGGGAGAGCTCGAGAGCAATGCTGCCCAAAAGATGATCTCTCATATCAACTATCAAAGACAAAAAACAAGCAGACAGCTGGCATTGCACTGCCTCGAGCTATCAACAGAAACTAGTAGACCAGACCGCTCCTCGTTCCGGATACAAAACCTTATCCCAACATCAGCAGACTTCCCAACGCTGTATCAAGCTCGAGTACGGAGTACCGGTACTTGGTAAGTAGTCTAGTCTCCCGGTTCCATTTCCCGACTCAAGTCAAAACCTTGAGCCACACCTGTAGAAACGTCTTAGACGCTTCTAGCCAGCCCTAGCCTCTTCCCCACAGAACTTCACCCATCCACCCAAAACAAGGAATTCATCATGCTAGCATCCAAAAACCAGCCAATCATCACTATTCTTCCAGTCCGTGTGAGTTTCAATGGAATCCAATCAATGGCCTCCCTCGCCTCCCTCTTAAGAGAGCGAGTTATATATATATATATATATATATACAAAATATCTCACATCCAGCTCATAAGAAAAACCTTGGAAAATCGACAAAGAGCGAGAACGAAGCTTCAACTCACCTATGATAGAGCTCGTGTATAGAGGAACAAGAGCCGATAATTCCCGTACCCCCCATCACCACCTGCATATCCGGAAGGAAGTTCCTGCAAGTTTGCAACCCTCCCCACGGAGCGAATTCTCCGGGAGGGGGGAGATTAAATAGATTGAGAGAAACTCCCAACCAACAACAATCCATGCTAAATATAGGAAATGATAAACGGCCTTGCCACGCTGTTGGGAACATGTCGTGGCGCTTTACACCAGCTTACGGTTCGAGGCGAGGAATCCTGGCATCATACATGATCACACAGCTACGTAGATGGAGGTACAAGTTTCATTTGTTGATCCTCCACACTAAATTCCATCATTTTCAAACATCCCCATATCAAGGCAATGGCGTAGTGTAACGTGATCGCGACCATCTTTCACGCGAATCACATGTATCACTGCACGATGATAGGAAACATCTTGGTTGAGAGACGACACTATTTGTGATTCTCAGCGACGATAGCAATTCAGCTCTAGAGTTGCAATATACAACCGAGCTAGCTACAGTACAGTGCTCAATACTGTGAATATTCGATGAGACGATCGCATCTAATACACAATATCGCATATATTCCTTGGACATAACGAATCATTTCCCCTGAAGCTAAGTGACTAAGACCTAAGCACTTGAAAAGATACTCTGTTAATTGGAACGGCTATTCAAAAAGGTGCAAGGGGCTAGACATACAATATAAATGCACCTATGAAAGAGTTTCCTGCAAGCCTTGTTTTCCACCTAAATGAGTATGCGCTATATACACGGATAAACTCTTGTCTGTTTAATTATTCAGAAGCGATATGATCTTCTTTCTGTCATCCTGGCATAACTCTCCATCGACAAAAATCTGCCAAGTTCTCTTCCGAGTATTGCTGAAGATAGTGATAGTCTTCTTACTTTCATCCGGATCAGGAGTTTTTGTTCCGCATCGGCCGTCTAGATCCTCTATGAATGCGTTTTTGTCTGACAAGACGCTTCCCATTGATGAGATAATTCTTTCCATGTAACCGAATGCCATCCGTAGGTTACAGTCCTTTCGCTTGAGATAGCGACTGATCGACTTGATTGGCAGCTGACGAAGAAATCTGGCTGACGGAGGTTCCATATTTTCTTGTATGACATTGAGAAGGCGGATCAATCGAGCACCATCAGTCTCTGAGCCCCCGATAGTTTGTTGCTTAGCGAGCTCGATAGAGGGAAGAACATTCGTATCATGTGCGATGATATTCTGTTCGATGAGACTTTGAAGTTGACCCTTTAGAATATCGTATTGAAGCCTAACGGACGGTAATCCAACCTCGATGGCATTGCAACCACATCGGCTGAGGAATGCTGTGTCAATGGAGTCTTTCAAGTTCGACGTACACATGACAAGGATATTTGGATAGGGTTTAAGACGGTCAAGACCAGTCAAGAATGCGTTGGTAGCACGAAGGGAGTCTTGAGGCTCTCCTCGCTGATGATTTGACTCTCTTGACATGGCAAGACTTTCTACCTCGTCGATTAGAACAAAGTAAAAGCTATCGGGGTTCTTCTCGCAACGATCAGCCAGTGAACGGAAGATCTGATCGACTATCTTCGCGCTTTCGGAGAAGAATTTTGATAATAGAGTTGCCGCTCCGATCTCAACAAGTTGCTTTTTCTGGTACACGGTACATAGACGAATTGATACCTTTTGGGCGAGGCCTTGGCAGAGACTTGTTTTTCCAGTTCCTGGAGGGCCATGTAAGAGAATGATACGATCCTCTAACATTGTAAATTTATTAGAGGTTCGATTCAAACGTTCTAGACTTGATGAGCCCTGAACAGCTACTTGAATTGATCTCTCACATACCTGTGTTGATGGCCATGGTCAAGAAATCATCCTTATAAGATGCATCGAAGACAAGCTCGTCCCATGTACTAGTGAACTTTTTGTTTGGCATATAGTATACCTCAGCTCCTGGAAAGTGGGAGTTTACTTCCGGCTGACTAGACGCAAGCTCGAAAAATCTGACAAGGACCGGGACAGATTTGACGGAGTAAAGATTTCCGAACGACTCTGGACCCGTGTACTCAACCACTCTCAAGGAAATGAGGTTTGTCTGACACCAGTTGAATCGGAGCATTCCCAAGAGACCACGAGCTTCTATTTTAGATAGTTAATACCTCCGTATACATCTGAGATAATGTTAGAAAGAGAAACTTGCCATCAATATTGCTAAGAACATCTTCGCCAACTATAAAGTCCCAGTTCCGCGATTCGAGGTCTCTTTGGAGTCCATCGCGAACCTCGAGAGCTAGGTCAATGTCCTCTCCGGCGAGTCTCTTCTTCAACACTCCTTCGATGAAGATTTCCGCATCCTCTGTTTGGAGTGTGGCACTGCTAAAACTATCGAGACTTGCAGCATCACCCTCAGCTTTCGTCGTGTCAATTGACTCTTTTGGAGGCTCTGGTGGAAGCTGTGGAGAGTTTCGAGGCTTGCAGGTGCTCGCGGCCTCAGCGGGGTCCGCGTGCGGGGCGGGTTGTTCCGTCTTAAGCTGCATCTTGACCGATGGCGTAGCCGAGTGGTTCGAATCAGTAATTATGGAGTCGAGGTTAGAAAGGTCGTGATAGACAGCCACACTATCAAACCATATAGAACTGAATCTGGGACATCGAGTACTGGTACTTGAAGGGGAGTTGGGAGTGCAGGCTGAGGAAGTGCAAAAAGTAGAGTGAGTGAGAGGAAAGAACTCTTGACGCCAAGGCCGATCGGCCCCGAGTATCGCTGTGGCACAGACAGGGTCCGAGAGGCACCGTCACCGCCACGGAGCACCCGCAAGCTTGAAGCCTGCGAAGCCTGCAACGTCATTGCCAAACACTGCAACTTTCAACAACACAACACAACACCATGTTTTTCAACTTCACCTCCAAAATAAGATAATCTAAGAGTCTAACAATGGGTCAAGACTGCCCCGGGACTGTGGATCCATCGGATCCAAGGAACAGCCAGACAGATATCTTAGTCCAGCTTTTCTTGTCACTTGCATTGGGCGTATCTGCTTTTATCGGGTTTTGTGTAAGGCAGCAGAAATATTTGAGTGCTCTACCGCAGTTCTACAACCTCTAACAACAATAATAGATATTGCGTCCAAGATGGAAGAGTCTTTACGCCGCCCGCAAGCAGCAAACGGACGCAGCAGAAGCCTTGCCGGAGCTTCCAGACAGCTTCTTGGGATGGCTGCCAGTCTTATATCGAGTAACCGAAGAACAGGTCCTCGCATCTGCAGGTCTTGATGCGTACGTTGTAGGTTTGTTCCCTATTGATGGCCTCAGAACTAGAAGTTGACATGCTTCAGTTCTTAGCATTCTTCAAAATGTCCATCAAGCTCTTTGGCGTCATGTTCCTCCTGAGCTCTGTCATCCTTGCCCCCATAAATCACCGATACGCAAATTCAGAAAACTTCAACGCTACCGGATCAGCGCTTCCGTTATACGGAGAGGAATATTGGGACTATAAAGCAGAACTGGCGATATTGAAGAAACCACAACCCGAGCAAGGTTACCTGTGGGCATATCTAGTTTTCACCTACTTCTTTACAGGACTCGCTTTGTATTTCATGACTCGAGAAACACAACGCATCATACAAATAAGGCAAGACTATCTCGGAAGTCAATATACCACTACCGACCGCACTATTCAGCTTTCCGGTATACCACCTGAGCTAAGATCAGAGGCGAAGATCAAAGAGTTCTTGGAGAAGTTAGAGTTGGGAAAGGTTGAGAGTGTGACTGTCTGTCGTAATTGGAAAAAGATGGATGATTTAATGGATAAACGGGCGTATATTCTGCGAAGACTCGAGGAAGCATACTCCGTAAATCTCGGTCGAACCAAAACCAAGCAACTTGAAACTCCAAGGCCAGTCGAAAGTCGTAATTATCATGATGACGAGCCTAACGAATCTGGAGACAACGAGCATGATGATTTGCTGGATAATCACATCACCCCTCACGACAAACCTCGCCCAACAACACGCATGTGGTACGGATTTTTCAAACTCCAAAGCCGGAAGGTCGACGCGATTGACTTCTTTCAAGAAAAACTTCGAAAGCTTGATGACGAGATAAAAGCGGCAAGGAAGAAAGAATATGAGCCAACTCCGCTGGCTTTTGTCACGATGGACTCCGTTCCAGCTTGTCAACTGGCGGTTCAAGCACTACTATCCCCAAAGCCAATGCAGCTTTTGGCCAAGCTTGCTCCCGCACCATCCGACATTGTATGGCAAAACACTTATCTGCCTCGATCCACCCGAATGGTGCGATCTTGGACAATCACAGTCTTTATCCTCGTTCTCACCATATTCTGGGTGTTTCCGGTAGCCGGATTGGCGGGATTGTTGAATATTTGCTCTATCGCGCAAGTATGGAAAGGCCTTGCAGAGGTACTGGAAAGGCACGCAGTTATCAAATCTTTGATTCAAACTGGTTTACCTACCCTCGTTGTATCGCTGCTCAACTTGGCTGTGCCTTTCCTTTATGATTATCTTGCAAACATGCAAGGTATGATATCCCAAGGAGATGTGGAGCTGTCCGTTGTATCCAAAAACTTTTTCTTCACGTTCTTCAACGTTTTCCTCGTGTTGACGGCATTTGGGACTGCCAGCAACTTTTGGCCTCAGCTGCGAGAGAACCTGCGGGACACTACCGGCACTACACTTGCATACCATTTGGCAAAAGAAGTTCAGTCCCTTGGAAATTTCTATACAAACTTCATCCTTCTTCAAAGTATTGGTCTCCTTCCATTTAGGCTTCTTGAGTTTGGCAACGTGGCGCTATACCCCATTACTTTGATGGGTGCGAGGACACCTAGGGATTATGCGGAATTGGTTCAGCCACCAATATTCAAATACGGCTTCTACCTCCCTTCAGCTATCTTGGTATATATCTTGTGCATGGTATACAGTATTCTGCCACCAGGATATAAGGTACTGTTCTTCGGAGAGTTTTATTTCGTTATTGGGTATTATACCTATAAGTATCAATTGCTGTACGCTATGGATCACCCACAACATGCAACTGGAAAGGCTTGGCCCATGATTTGTTATCGCATCTTAGTCGGGTTGGGGGTTTTCCAGGTTGTAATGGCGGGTTTGATCGCATTGGAATCCGAGTTCACGGCGGCTGCCTTGGTTGTGCCGCTGATACCTTTCACAGTTTGGTACAGTTACTATTACAGGAGGACATATGAACCTCTGACCAACTTTATCGCTCTTCGGAGTATCAGACGAAACAGCAGTGCCGCTATCAACATTGCAGACGAAAACATCGGCATATCTCGACCTCCTGGAAATATGCGCCGTCGTAGCAACACATTGGATGAGGCTCGGGAGAGGGGCTTGCTATTTGTGAACCCCAGCCTAACAGTCCCGTAAGTGCAAATCATACATAACTATTGCAGCCAATACTGATTATTTATAGCCTGGAGAAGATGTGGATTGATAGGGATGGGGATGAAGCAGCGAATGGAGATTCTACAGATTCGGAAAGACAGGAGAGTACATCAAGCTCTCTAAGTTTGGGCGATACTCATATTTGGCGTGACAACGGGGATACAAATGTTTGACATGTCTGTATTCTTACCTGGTAAATATTTATTCCTGACATTGCTGATGCCTCATTGGATCGCCATTTGGGAGATGGTCGCTCTTTCCCACAAGATGAGCTTGATCGTCGGTTCCCCACATACAATGCACTTTCCTGAATTAAACAAACTGTACAGTTCCTTGATGTCATGCTTTAATACTGTACTTGAAACTCCGAACGACCGTCATATCTCTACTCTCCTCATCCGCAGGCCTCCTAATCACTGCGGGCCAGACAAATTATATCTCAGATTGATTGCACTATACTTCATTTTCCCCTGTTTATCAGTACCATCCGTCCTCAATTGAGTTCTTATGCCAGTCTTTTCAATTGCGTACCGCTCATCTATTATTAAAAAACCGGTCTCCTCTCGGGAGACCACAGACAAAACGTCTTTCCAGATCCTCCTTTCGAGGAGTATTGCCGAACCCAATCCCATTTCGATCGCAGAGCCTCGGCCAGCCCCGCCTGCAATGGTGGCATCCATTTTCGAAAACCAATCAAGTCAAATTATGACCATTGGATACGCTACTCCCTCAGCATCTCATACTATTGTATCTGGTGCATGCGTGGATACCCAAGAAGAGCCGTCAGAGTCTACTGGAGGTAGGAAGTTTTCCAGGAAATGTCAGCAGTTCAAAGCTAAATGACCAAGGGCCAAGCGCAGTTAATACTGATGTTATCGACGATGCGAACCAAGAACACCCCGATCACCTCCGCGTAGACCCTACTCCCACAGTAAGCGGAGCTAGGACATCACCTATAATTACGACAAGGTCTATCCAATCTACCCCTGATGTGGAATCTTCCCTTTCACCAATCGAATGTGAATCCGTCAAGATTATTGAAGCCGAGAAGCAGGGTGGCTCAGAACGAGGTAGAACGTTGGCAAGGAGCCCGCGAGTTTCCAATCCTTTCTCTCAAGCAGAATCAAGAATTCGGAGAAATGATCTGGCCATAGAAATTGATGCTCGGGATTTGGGCAAACGAGCTCGCCGTAGCAGCACTCTTCATGACAACCCTACAGACTTACCTGCCATTCTTGACGACCACCTCTTGGAACCATGCCCACACGATCCTCTTTGCGATACCGTCTCGGATGTGCTCAACACACCGATCAGTCCTGTCGATATTTCGCGAAGCATTTCCCGCATCAATTCTGCCACATTGGAACTTCATCTTCGCCTTGCTTCATTTCCTGGACCAACTCCGTCACTTGGTATGATATCCAGCGAGTCTGAGGCACTAAGTATGATCGAGAGGCGTAGCTCAAGTGCTATGTTCGTTGAAATTGACAAAGGTCAATTGGCGTTGGGCCTTCCTTCAAAGCTCCTGCATTGTTCGCAGGAATTCGGTACCGGGTCGAAACCATCATTGGCAGCCTACTTACCAACAGAGATCCTGCATCAGATCTATAATAATCTTAATCCGGAAGATTTCCATGCTGCTCGGCATACCTGTAGGATTTGGTTCATCAACAGCCTAGAAAGATCACTTTTGGAAACAATGTTTCGGCGTAGTGGTTACTCTAGCAGTATCGCACATGATATGGCAGATAACTATGTTCTCGATTCTGAGATCAAAGTCAATGACGAATGGCTCATGAGTAAGAGACTTGCCCGAGAATGCGCTTTGAGCCCTGCCTGGAAAGGCAACGGATTGTCTTCATCAAAACACATGCCCGGTAAATCGAGTACCGAAGCGTTCATCGAAATTTCTTCAATCGACTTTACTGAAGTGGCTGTTCACCACCAAGGAACCAGTTCAGTTGGCACTATCTTCACGGTCAGCAACTGCGGGAAATTTCTAATGGCTGCCAATGGGTGTTTGGTTTATATATACGAACTGAACCGGTCCTCGAAAGTAGCAGACAGCCACTACATATCTCAACCAGGATCTTTACGACCAGTTACTGGAATCATATGTCCCCATAAAGTACTAGCTTGTAGCATGGACACCTCCTCACGCCGCTACGCCATTGCAATACTTCTCGAAGGTCGAATGGGATTGGTCTGCGACATAAGCACTTTGAACAAATCTTTTTCGTCACCTCAGGTCCCACAAGACCATGCATTCAACCCGCAGCCGCCAGAACCGTCTTCGTCTCGTTCCAGAAATTCTTCATGGCAGGGCTTACGTGCAACGTCTTTTCTTGATCGTGTTTCCCTGAACAGCTCAGCGTCAAATCTTGGTCTTGGTGGTGCGCCCCCAACTGAACCCACCTTCGTCTTTCCCGGAATAGCCACGTCTGGCTCGAGTTTTGCACCAGCAAACGACTCGGCATGGCAAGATGTTTTTCATGGTGATGTACCAAGTGCTACACAAACCGAGGGACCCAGTTCACGCCACTCTTCACTCCCGAAGACTGGAATACTCAGAGCAGATAGTAGACTTCAGAGCATCTTACCACCTTACCCATCAAATGATAGCGCAGATGTAACAATGCCAATTGAAACAGGACCTCGATCATTATACCGTAATCTTTGCTCAGATGATGATCCCCCACGGGCTGTAGCTATCTGTCCGCAGCGGAGATGTGTTGCCTTTGGATGCTCAGCTGGAATTGAGCTTCACTGGGTTGATGCACTCACTGGACAAGACCTAAATAGATGGTTCCCGCTCACGGCTCCTAGCGACTATTTATTCTTCCTCCCTCCAAGACGAACTGTTGACTCAGCCAAAAAATTGAGACTCATTAGTAGTGCCGCTAGACCAAGTGAGCGGCCAGCAATTGTTGAAAGAGCTTTTGGTCATCGCACACGAAGCAGTCCGTTTTGGGACAGATTGGGGAGAACGACAAGCGCCATTGAAAGTGGTGAAAGCTCACGAAGAGTACAAGCTTTGGGAATGCGTGGTGGCGATAGTTCTACACGTTTTGGGAACGCTGTAGCGGAGTCCTCAGACCATTATCGGGCTGTTCCTCTCAGTGATGGATACCATATCCTTTTCACCGATCCAGTAACAGGCTTTCTCTGCCTCGGAAGTGATGCTCCTGTGGGCGGCCCCACGAAGTTGTTGAGAAAGATGTGGTTTCAAGGTCCAGCTGAGGATAAGGGTAGTCCGATAGCTTATGCCAGTGGTTCGGATTTGCAATGGGGTGTCCGAATTGTTGCCGCTTTTGGTCCTGAAAATGAACAGAGCGTCTGGCTCTTTTCCGTTCCTAGCGATATGTTCACAGCAGAACAGAATCGGAGCGCTACATTGTGGCCATGTGATGAATCTTCCAAAGATGCTCAAAATTGGGAATGGTTGGATTGGTGGCCTGAACATGGTGAGCAGGAGTGGTTGACTGAAAGTGAAGATCCGACGCCTAGTGTTCATCCCCGAAGCACTTGGCCTGTTAAAATCAGAGGACAGCAAATCGGTACATGTAAAGGTGTCATTGACCTAGCTATCGACTCTGGACCTGACATGGTAATTTGGGCACTGAGCAAGACTGGCATCGCGAAAGTCTGGAAACTCAATGTTGGGAGGAATGAAGAACCTCAAATGAGCCTGGTTGTTCGAGATGGTACGATCCGGGATATGGATGGTATGGGAGACATTAAGATGAGTGGTCTTTTGATACCGTCCCCTGCCATTTCCGCCGAACCTGAATCGGCTTTGCAACAGGAATCATTTGATGGGGCTTTCTCCCCGCCCGCCCCAGATTTTTCTCAGAGCCGAATGGACCGTGGGGAGTTGGACGATGACTGTGTGAGGTATGACTTCGAAGGAGATGTGCTGATGGATGATTTGTGTCTTTTGGATCCTGCGGATATCCAGGAGCTGGAAGATCCACAGGTTAGTTTTGAAGGTATGCGTGGTCAGGTGTGGTACGGGAGTTTCTGGGAGGCTACGAGCGGATGGCGTGGCAAGCCCCATTCACTTGGTCATGCGGATTTAGTGGAAGAGCTTACTGGAATTGCGAGGATTGATTTTGAGATTCGTTGAGCTTTTTTTGATGGGTTGGAATGCTGGTGCGACTGGGTGGTAGATGGTTAGAGTGCTCTCTTTTTTTGTCTTGGTTTGCTTTGGGTAAGGTAGTTTGTCTGGCTGTGAGGAGTATTGGTAGTAGGCATTTCCGACAATCCTAAGAATGATTCTTCCTGAGTTTGAAGCTTTCTGGCGGAGTTTAGTGATAATTTCTCCTGGTGAGTTTTGGGGCTCTCCATCGATAGAAAAAGTGCCTGTGCATATTGTGACTTGCGTTCTGCCCTTTTTTTCTGGCTGAACGAAATAATTGCTCTACGTTTCTGGAACAATGTGAATTTGTATTAATCTACAGGTGATAGGTCGATATTCTTGGCTGCACTGGGATTATGAATTAACCACTCTGAATATTCTAGAAAGCAGAACAATGGGAATGGCTGTTTACTCCCGCTTTCACTCTGGGATCTTAAAGCATACGGAAGTATTCGCTAGTCAAGGTGCGGAGTATACTATGTAGAAGAGTTGAACGATGTTTTAAAAATACGAGAAAGGTCTGGTTCGTTTGTATGGAGTTTATGTGGTGTTTTTGTTATGTTCTGTGACTCTGTGAGGTTTTGGTGGGCGATTAAGATCGTAGATCTGGGGAGTATTTCAATTACAACAGCCAAGGAAGGTAATAAGCCGTAACTACATAAGCTGCTAAAAAGAGACCTGGATTTTATGTGGAAATGACGAAAGATGTGGGAGGAATAGGTGTATTAGCGTTGAGATGCTATGTACTTATTAGCGATCGGTGGTGAACATTTAAGCAAAGAGACACTTGGGGGGCTTTCTCGACAGAAAAGGTGGCAGTAATTCAGCTAGCGCGACTTGGTCCATAGTTTATAGTTGACCTATTTATTTCGGATCAGAACGAGTGGAATACTTTTAGTCAATAAAAGTAATTGTGCACTCATAATGACAGGTCAATTACTTAAAACGAGTCTTCTAAAACACAATGAAGGGTGGGGTCCTTTCACCAACGCCATAAATGTTAAATCCTACTGAGAATACGACCATACTTCAAACCCGGGGATCTCGGAAGCCACGGTTGCTGGTGTGACTCCTCGGCACTTCTCAGTTGTTTGTATATCGACAGTTACCTAGCATGCTGTTGTGTGATAAATGACGATAACTTCTGCAGCTGTTGTGAACCATTGATCGTCAATCAAAGGAAGCAAACACGCGATTTTTATCTCCTCAATTGATTCACCGATACTTCAAGGTTGCACATTTCGTCGTACAATAGTTGAAGGTGCTTAATACTTGTGGCTGGGCGGCAAGATATATGATTTGATTGACTGCAAATGCACTGAAACAACTTGGCTTACATCAGAAGCCGAAAGAATAATTTTAGAATCGTGTGCGCAATATACGTACATATACAGCACCCCCATCGTTCCCCCAATATCCGACTTTGAATGCTTGAATATGTAAGATTCTTTTCGCTTGTACCTTTGATCTAGTGAATTTCAAGAACACAACTATTCACGTGCGACAAACAGGTTTCCTTGACCAACCTCTTCTAGCATCAAAGATCCTGAAAGCAGGTACGAACGGGCAGCCGAAAAACAGTCGCCATTTTGATGGTAGGATTCAAGAAGTATAACCAGAAGGTATCCAGGGATCAACGGAAATGGCGCTTAGAGATGAGAATTTCTACGGTTTTTCCGAAAATGATGACCGCTCTGATTTTGCGAACGATTTAGCGAGAACAAGGAAGGAAGAAGAGCCTGCCCGTGTTTTTGTGGAAATGCCCATGACACTGCGTGGGGTAGAAACTTTACTTCTAGATCAGACGAAAGCGATTCGACGTCTGAATCAATCAGTAAAAACGGGTCTAAGTGTGGACGAGAAGGAGGATGAAGAGCGTTTCAACGACATGGAGAAAAGAATTGTTGGAAAACCCCCTCGTTGAATTGTCAAAGAACAAGTCAAATTGGCGTCAGATGACGCTCTAGAGTATTGGAAGGAATTGAGGGAAGTACAGAATCACGCATTGCAAGTTAGGACGAGGGGTAAAAAATTTAATGAATTTGTGGATTATTTTATTTCTTGCACTCCTCTACGTGGTCTGGTATGAAGTTTGATATCGAGGATTCTGAGTATGTCGTCTATCGCTGACATCGAGCTAGGGTGACGAGAATGAGCCAAGGGACGACGAACACCTGTACATATCAAAAATTAAAGAGCTCGAAAATGCGATCCCAATCTAACCCTGCAACAACCTGGCTCTTCTCTTATCAAAGGTTAAGTGCAAGGACGTGAGTAGGGAAGCTATTGACGATCATGTCAAAAGATACTTGGCAGCATTGAAGACCCACGGTCAAAATACGAGTATGATAACTGCCGATTATTTCAGATCACCTTTCGGTTCCATTACCGAAGGATATATTCATCGAAGTCACCGTAAGTTATGCGCAATGTCTGTTCCATTTGCAAGGGTGTGAGTGATACTGACAGCATATCAATGCCAGAAAATCCAATAACGGGTGCCCTCAGAAATAACTTAAAAAACTTTAGTGTAAACAGACACTTCAAGAGTAGAGGTTGGGTAAGAGTTATGTGAGTCTCCCGGAATATTCGAGTTAGCGTTTTTGACTGACTTGGTATCTCGACTTATAGTGAATGCAGAGGCATAACAACTGTATATCAAAACACACGTGACACTTCTTCCTCACCAGTAATTATTTACCCACCCATAGCTGAAGTAGACTGCAATGGATATTGCAATCAAAAAAGCTCTTTGTTCGAGCTACACGTTAGTTGTGAGGAACACCCATTGAGCTGGATATTTAAAGATAATTTCCAAGTGACATTCTACGAGATCATTGAACCGGCTCCTGAGCACGAATGTTGGGACACAGGCACTCTATTCTCTAGATCCAACACTGACACTAAAGTGAGCTTTAGAAAAGTCTGTGTTACGGTAGGATGTTGACCCCGTTATTTTGAGACATCAACTGATTCCGACAGCTTGGGTGTATCGTCCAGAAAATAACAACTTGAAGGAACCTAAGGAGCATTCGTTCTGGACCATTCTTGTATGCACGCCCTCGAATCACCGAAAAGACTTGCGAAAATTGGTTCACGATAGAGAGGATCTTCTATACTCCTCACACCTTCAGAGTTCTGGTAAGCCTGTACAGGTTTTTTATGAACAGGCCTTACTAGCCATCCTTAAAGTACAACTGACCAGGATCCTTGAAAAGTGGAATGAACTTTTGGCACATCTGAACGCTCTTCTGGCTGCCAGAGGTCAAGCAACATTCATGAATCCAGATTCATATGTCCACCTACTTTACGACGAATCAAACTTTTCGAGATCTAAATTCTACTTTTGGGCTATCGGGTGTCTTAGTAGCTTTGAAGAGAATATTGTGATCACTGCTAGGCATCCCAAAAGCGTACGCAGAAAACTCGTGAACGAGGTCTGCAGAAAGCTAGAGCTGGGACAAGTATCCTATGGACATACCGAGCACATCAAGATGCTAGACGCAGAGCTCGAGCCTCTCTGCAAGCAATTGGAGGATATCGGAGAGCAGTTTGGAAAGCGCCTCGAAACTGTTCGGGCACTTCGTGATGGGGTGAGCACCATAAAATCCATATTTCGAACAGAATATTAATGATACTTTAGCTTTTTAACGCTAGTGGTGTGATGGAAACTCGACAATCAAGGGTTCTGGGCGAAAATGTGCGACTATTGACATTCGTCAGCATCTTCTTCTTGCCGTTGGCATTCTGTGTAGTAAGTTATATAACCCCTCTTCGCTCTTCAGAACCACACATTCTATCATCCCAAGGAAATTACCAAAGTAGCATTTCTTCAGCGACTCAGGAATCTATAGTAGTGGTTTATTGTGAATGAGGGAGTGCTTACTAAGCAACTCGGCGGGATAAATATCCTACATACGAGTATACTCCTCTATTAACAACACTATATTTATCGTTTTACATAGTACGATTATTAGCTCTTTTGAATCTAGTTAATCTAAAACAATAAGCCTTAATTATACTGTAACGAATACTCAAACTGGCTAACTAAACTTGGCTGGGTGTTCGCTGGTTGGTATGCTATGATAAGAAGAAGACTATCGGGTTGTTCACTTGGAAGTGAACTCGTTACTTGTATCAAAGATGTCAAACTAATATGATAAGATTGATAACTAAGTTGAGCACGAAGCTCCTATCTAATGGCAGACGTGCCAGTCTTATATAGAACCTTCATCCTCAAGTACTATGATCTGGGTAGCCAACTCGCCTATCGAGCTGGCGGTCCGTTTCGCTAGGTCGCCGAGCGATCCAGCGATCCAACTTAATCATGTGACCATAACCAATGGAAATCCCTGGATCGCTTAGCTACCCTAAGCGATCCCTATTTGCTATAAGAAACCTGGGTATGCCTGTCGAGGGTTGCGCCTCTTATTATGACAAGTATCACGTGAGCACGTGATTCGTGACAGTAAAGTAGATCTCCTTTAAAAAGTTAGTAACTGGCGACCTTAGCGATAAGCTCTTACTACTCTTACTATAGTATTAATTACTTCTCTTATAGTATCTTCTTCATTATATTAGGCTTATAATTCTACCCTTACTGTTTCGCGGGCTTCTTTAGCTAAGTAGTTCCTTACTCCTATTAGAGTTCGCTAGTTATAAAGGTCTTGTTCTATATATATAAACACGCGATTACCTACTCTAGTAAGATTTATAGTATAAGCCCTTTAGGATATATGTTTTAGAGGTTTCGGAGGTTTCGGAGGTATATGTCACGAATCACGTGCTAGCACGTGAGGAGTTAGTCCAGACGGGGTTCTGACAGGACAAACACATCATGGCTCTTATAGCAAATAGGGATCGCTTAGGTTAGTTAAGCGATCCAGGGATTTCTTTGTATATAAGTCACGTGATATATGCAGGTCGACTTCTCGCCTGGTCGAGAAGTCGAGTATCGACTATGTCGACAGTCGACATTGTCGACTTCAGGAATACGGAGGTTCTATATAAGACTGGCACGTCTGCCATTAGATAGGAGCTTCGTGCTCAACTTAGTTATCAATCTTATCATATTTGTTTGACATCTTTGATACAAGTAACGAGTTCACTTCCAAGTGAACAACCCGATAGTCTTCTTCTTATCATAGCATACCAACCAGCGAACACCCAGCCAAGTTTAGTTAGCCAGTTTGAGTATTCGTTACATAGCCTTTAATAAGGTACTACTTAAAGAGCCTTAGATTTAGGTATTTTAGACTCCGATATTTAATATCTTAGTAGATAGTCCTCCGGAGCTTTTAAGGGTTATTTTACTCTTAGTTATAAAATTATTATTAATTAAGCTATTATTTTTATAGGGATTATAATTTATTATTCTCTTCCTTATAGCTTATTATTATTTTATCTTATTTAGTAGCTAGTTCTTTTCGTCCCTTAAAGACGGCCTAGGATACTAATACTTCTTTTTACTATATTAAATAGAGCCTTCTAATTAGTCTATAATATATAAGAAGTCTAAGTATTCAAAGCTAGCTAGTAATATAAGAAATTGATAATAAGCCTTTTTTATAATATAACGAATAGATAATAAATAGTAGTAGTTTATTATAAATAAGAGAGTACTTACTAAGTAACTCGGTAGGATAAATATCCTATATACGAGTATACTCCTTTATTAACAATACCATATTTATCGTTCTATATAGTACGATTATTAGCTCTTTTAACCCGCCTATATACCCCTCGAGCTAAGTCTTACCTTTAGTTAGTTATATACCTTTTATAAGTAGCGAGGCCTAGGATGCTGATACTTCTTTTTACAACACTAAATAGAGCCTTCTAATTAGTCTATAATATATAAGAAGTCCAAGTATTTAAAGCTAGACAGCAATATAAGAAATCAACAATAACCCTCTTTTGTAACGTGACGAATGGACGATAAAACACGGTTGTAGTCCCTCTGGAGTGTGCCAGCTATCTCGACGGCATGGCCTGGCATCCACACACCGGTATCAACAGCTGTCGTAATAGGAAGAGTCACGTACTTGGTTGTTTTCAACCTCAACTTACTCCAGTATCTCGGTATATCTGTCCTGGCTTTTCCACGGGGCTATCTGCTCAAAAAGATGGAGGCAACAAACATGTCAATCGACTCCAGTTTCTCGCAAGGGACAAGCTCAGAAAGCACGTCCAGAGAAGGGAGCCAAGGTTCTTCAAGCAAATGGTTTGCCAGAGCAAAAGCTTTTGATGTCTTTCCAAGGCCAGATCCAAACCGAAAGCCTTCAACATGGTGGCTCATCATTTTCGCTGTCCGGTTGTTTTTCCTTCCTACCTACACGTGGATGCGGACGCTGTGGGCCAAGTTCTCCTCGAAACTTCCGAAAAGGGGCAAAGAAAACAGTGTAAGACGACACCCGACTAGATTCTTCTAAGCAATACTAACCATACAACAGCTACAAGACATAGAGTTTGGTGTTGTTAATTCAGAAAATTTGCCTTCCAGACCACAAAATCCGTCAAGTCAACCGACTGAAACTGCGGAATTGCCAAAGACGCCACAAAATTTAATGGGAGATGAGGTAAAGCAAGAGGTAGGTATGGAGAAACTTACATAGAAACATCCTGATGAGACGACAGTCCCCAAACTCTGATGCTAGGGCTACCAGTCCCCCAAAAGACCCCCTCATCACTAATGTGTAATCAGCTCGGTCTCGCTGCTCGGTAAGGTCGCAGGAGGGAGAAGGTCCGAAAGGTACAGATGGAAAATAAAACGAAAAACAAGAATACGACCAGACACAAACCTGTGAGATTGTGCTCAAAATTTAGAGTCCAGTGGAAAAGTATCATTAACGAAGGAAACCCAACACGACAAACCTCAGAAGTCGGGGATTCCTCAACTATCCCAAGCGAGCGCCAATTTGCTCAAAATTCGACTACTCGTACACGCTCAACAAATTGTACAACGAGTTGGAAGAAATATGACGTCGGTGGAATGGGCCCTATATCAAAATTCTGATATTGAGATATACTTCCCTTAGAGCGGATGGTAAGCGAGGATAACCTTGTGGTTTTGCCTCGAGAAGGCTAAGGATACTGGGGTCGGATTGGCATTTTGAAGACTCGCGAGTTTTGAGGAGGGAGAAGACTAGGTGAAATGAAAGGATGAAGCTTGATGATTAGGTTGATATGATTGCGATTGGGTATTTGTGGTTGGGCTTTTGTTGTTCGATTGGATTTGAGGTAGAAATGGCGCGACATACTGAATTATCATTACGACAGCTTTCAATTAAACACTGGATCACTTGAGTGACGTCAAGTATTATTGACTGTTGTGATGATAGCCAGAACCATCTGTACCAGTATAGTATGATATGTCTTAGCAAATTATGATACTGAAGTTTAATTATCAGTTACTGTAACTGCGGTGATGAGGAGACCTCTCAAGAGATTTCTATAAATTTTCTGACACCTCTGCCTCTTCATCTTCTTGAGTCCAATGGTTTTTCATTCCTCGATTCCCCTTTCAATTATACCTTCCCCAACCCCTCCTATTGCCCTCGACATCGACGGGTCTCGACCTTCGGATTCCTTCGGGTTCGGAGAGTGGGGCTGGGGATCCCCAAAAGTGGCGCAAGAGTGCATCCGGCTTTCCATAAACATTGTTGGAGAAAGACAATTCCAGCTGTCAATGGCTCGATTTCAACAAATTCTCCCCACATCGTGTATATATCTGGACAAGTGCCGTGGTGTTGTTGACAAAAGCAAGGTCCGCCTCATGCGCGGTAGCGGGCATAAAAGTGGGTCTTTCCAATGACCTCGGGACTCCACTACAGGATATCCCATCAATCATCATGTCTCAGTCGACAACAACAAGGGACTCCCCAGCTCCGCTCTCACTGGCGCATGTCTGATATCGTCATGTGTGGCCCAATACCTGCTTCGTGCCCAACATGGCCTGGGAGCATGGCATCGTCGCATTGCTTCTTTGAGACGCGTGTCAGGTAGATAAGTGGGAAGAGAGGATATATACAGGTAGGAGACCCCTCTTTTTTACACTTTTTGTCTTCGTTTGCAGGGGCATTATATATATTGCCGACAGCCTGTGGAATCACACTCTATCGCATAGTTGCGCCGGGTCCGTACTGTTCAGCTGCCATTTGCTTCGACTCGATCCGTTTTGAGCAGATACCACCAGCGTAGCGGTGCTATTGGTCCAGTTTGAACGACAGAGACACCACCACAGCTGACGGGTGATATCGAATACGAGGAGTGGAATACAAGATATACATGCACCAGCCGGAAAAGCATCAACAGAGCAGCCCGCCACCTCAGGAGATATAAAGAGTTTGAAAACACTAAGGGCCCAAACAACTTCCGCAACAATGTGCCTTTTCGCCTGTTAGTACTCCTCTCTTTCTCCCCTCAAATTCCTACTAACATCCTATGTCAGCTGCCACACCCAAATGGGAAGATGACATTGTCTTCGCCTCCCGCAAAGCGATCAAGTACCCGAAACGGCGACGCTCTCACCGTACTCGGACACAAATGACAGAGACAATAATCAGAACTCATCGTCCCTCCGTTGAACATGTGCACCCACCTCCACCCCCGCCTCTTGCTCTTCCTGAACCAAAGCCTGAACCAAAACCTGAACCAAAACCCGAACCAAAACCTGCGACACCTCCACCAGCACCTGTACCAACTCCTCCTACCGTAGCCCCTCCTGCACCAACTCCCCCTCCACGACCATTCTCTCGAGTTGAAGTTGTATCTGTTGAAGAAAATCTCAAACCAGTTTCCCCAAGAACATCACGTTCACACGTCTCGTCCTCGCACCGCAGCCATTCGCGGCGAGGTTCCAGCTCGCATCGCCGGGGATCACATGGAGAGGAGGTGTACATCGAGCGGGAACGTATAAGGGAAAGAGTCGTGCCTCCGCCATCACCACCCCCAGTTAGAGTGGAACACGAGACATATCGATACGTAGAAGGTCCCCGACCGCGAAGTATCGTCTATGATCGTCCACCGCGTGTGAGCAATGGAGTAGTAGAACGAGAAAGGCAAAGAATTCTAGTTGGGGACGAGGCAAGAAGAAGGAGTTCAAGGGAGTATTATTGATTAATTTAATGAGCGCTAATGGGAGTATCTGGAGTTGGGTTATAGGCATACAAGTGTGTTTGGGCTGGTTTTTGGGCTGGTTTTTGGTGTTTACAGTTTAAGTATGGAATATGAGGATAGACACAGGCATTGCCATATAAAGATTGACGATAGTATACGTTTAACTAAACTGTCCACATAGGTACGAATTTAATGATAGAAAGAAATAATACTAAATTTCGAGAAGTTTATCTGACTGTACCCTACAAATCAGATCACGTCTAAGCCTGGTATAGTCATACAATGCCTGACTCCCTGTAGGTAAAAATTGTTGACCATTTCTTCTCTATCAGTGCAACTCAATTCAAACTACTTCGGTATTTCATCTAACTTGAATAATTGAACTGATCAAGTTAGATTCCTGCAATAATTACAGCAACTGTCCCAATATGTCGAAAGTATTGATTTACTTTAGACCAACTCTTGAACCCACGCTAAGAGAAGAAAATAGACCTGTAACGTTTTTCTTGTCCACCGCGAAGGGTCTGGAGTCTTAATGAATCACTCGCCAGAACCTCAGAAGGAATTGCAACTGTCGTTTTTTGAATAGTGAATGATTATTAGCTAGCTCCAAGCGTAGCTGCTTCCTTGGGATTAGCGTACAATGGCATCTATAAGTACGCAGGGTCTATAAGTACGCAGAGACTTAGCTAGCTACACTTGCTTCGGCATGCAATACAACATAGGACTTAGTTATACCACATAATATAAGTCTATTGCATCACACTCTTTCCTTATGTGTCTACCGACTTTATCGACGTAAAGTCAAACCAACACCAACTAATGGAATCAAGCTTTCCCCCCCCCTTCGCTCCTCCAGTAATCTGATATCTAAGTACAATGTCTACCATCGTTAATTCAACAAAACAGATGGCCTGACCTGATGAGAATATTAATATATGCTTCAGAATCTTAGTCAGTGTGGTACTGTAAGCACCCAAATTACTTAGCACGTTTTGAAAACACTTTACCCTCACCACGACGAATATAAAGCACGAAAATCAGTTACAAAAACTCAATTCATTTAGCCTATTCTTTCTGTCATGGGCGCTTTCGTAATTGAAAGCTGGTGTTTCTTTTTGCTGTTTCTTGCTTTGTGTCTGTAGGGGAGGTGTTTTTGCTGTGGTGAGAATGAATGATGTTTATATGAGATGATTCAATTGGCTGTGGGGATTGTGCCTGTGGAAAACAGGGCAAATTATGTCAGGTTGAATTTGCATGTGATAGGTGGACCTTTGAGTTACTCTGTAATGGGAAGTGTGATATTTGACAGACAGTTGCTCATTCGCTCTGCCAAGTTGGTTTATAACGTTCCGCCAGTTTTTGCAGATTAGTCCCATCAAACAGTTGCATCATTCCTTCATTCACCATTCACCTTCATTTCTTTAAGAGTACTTGAAAATTCCCACAAATTTTAAATACTGAGCCCAATGCACCTTACCAAGTATCAAACATACGCGTTTACCTACAGCTTGCTGCTCAATCATCATCATCGCTTCTACACATTCCCTCGTGAAGGCATTCGAAGAGATGCTTCCTTTTACTTCAATCCTCTCTCCGTTACTGGTCGCTCTTCTCAATCCAGATACTTGCGTTGCCAGAATCTTCCCCCGCCAGAATGTCACACTTAGGCTCGTTACTCAATTTGCTCGAGGTCAAGGCATAGGAAACATCCACAGTGGCCGCTTTGGAAATTTATTCTACACTACTTTCGATGATAACGTCCTTCTTGAACTCAATCCGAGGTTTCGAAGAGCCTTGACTGGCAGTCCTGTCACCACTATTAGTGGCGCGGACTCACTCACTGGAATTGCTACCATTGACGCCACTAGCCAGGGCATGTATTCCCTTTTTTTTCTTTTGAACTCAAATCTTTCTCTGAACTACAAACCCCAAAGCTCTAGCCAGATTGAACTAACATCTGTCTTCTAGAGTTTGCTGTCGCTGGTAGTCATCAAAATGGTAGCGCCATTTACAAAGTCAACTGTCTCAACTCAGCCACCTGCACAGTTCTCAACCGTACCGACACAAGGGCAACCCTCAAAGGTCTGACCTCGTTCCCAAACTTCAATTTCACTTTCGCTGCCGAATCCGAGGGAGGAACCATTATCCGATATGACTGGAATACCCTAAGAGATGAGTTTGTAGTAGGTAGAAAGTAGGTAAAGAAGTAGGTAGAGAAATTAGGGAGAAGTAAAGCTATCGTAGGCTAAAGGGTAAATATATAACAAGAATATAGCTTAAAGGGCTACCTAAATTCTAAGGAATTTAGCTATATTCCTAGGGAATCCTCCCTTACTACCTTAGAATAGCCTTAATCTTCCCTCCGTTCTATACCCTTAGCCCCTACTAATATATACTTACCTATTATATATATATCCTATATATATAAAGATAGGTATAAAGATAGGTATAAAGATAGGTATAAAGATAGGTATAAAGATAGGTATAAAGATAGGTATAAAGATAGGTATAAAGATAGGTATAAAGATAGATATAAAGATAAGTATAAAAATAGATATAAAGATAGGTACGAAGATAGATATAAAAATATGTATAAAAATAGATATAAAGATAAGTATAGAGATAAATATAAAGATAAATACGAAGATAAATAGTTCCTAGAAATAAGGGCTTATTCTATTATTCTAACTCCTTTAAAATAATTAAAATAATTCCTATACTTACTAGGAAATAAAGCGTAGAGTTTTAGTTTTTTACTATTTTACTATTTTACTATTAATAGAATGTAACGAATACTCAAACTGGCTAACTAAACTTGGCTGGGTGTTCGCTGGTTGGTATGCTATGATAAGAAGAAGACTATCGGGTTGTTCACTTGGAAGTGAACTCGTTACTTGTATCAAAGATGTCAAACTAATATGATAAGATTGATAACTAAGTTGAGCACGAAGCTCCTATCTAATGGCAGACGTGCCAGTCTTATATAGAACCTTCATTCCCATGATCGCTGCTGGTCGCCGCGACCAAGACGACCTGGCCGTTGTAGTCGCTCGTGACCACTACTGGTCACGTGATAACAATACAGAGAAATCCCTGGATCGCTTAGCTACTCCAAACGATCCCTATTTGCTATAAGAAACCTGGATGTGCCTGTCGAGGGTTGCTCCTCTTATTATGACAGGTATCATGTGAACACGTGATTCGTGACATAGAAGTACTCGATCGGCGTTCTATAAGTTATACCTCTACTAGAGAGTATTAGAATTCTAGATATAGTTTTAGATTTTAGTTATAAATATACTAAAAATACCCTACTTTACTAAATTATCGTAAAATTAGTAATAATCTAAATAATATAAAACTTAATATATAAATTTAGATAAATAGTAGCTCTAACTTATATACTTTAGAACTTTAATATAAGACATTATTCTATTATACTATAAAACTAATAAATTTACTAGGGAATTTGCTAAGAGAAAACTTTCTACTAGAATATCTCTTAGAATATTAAGTTTTATAAAATACTTTCGTATATATACTTAATCTATATACTCTAGATAATTAATATAAGAGATATTATATATAGGCTTTATATAAATTCGTAGAGTTATAAGGTTATAAGATTATAGTTTTTAGTATATTTTCGGCTAAAATATAAAACTATATCTAGAATTCTAATACTCTCTAGTACCTTTATAAACTCGGTTATACGTATATTCTAGCTAAACCTGTGAGAGGCCAGACCTCGAATAGCTCAAAGGTGTGGTTTCGAATATTCAATTAAGAAGTGCGTGAAGACTACATACATGCAATCTCTTCCTCTATATATAGAGAGAGGAAGAGTTTCTGGAGTCTTCCAAGAAACTGTTTGACAAATACGTGACGTCAAAAGAATAGAGTAGAAAAGTGTAGAAAAGGAGAAACCAATTTAGCAGTGGAGCAATGGCCAATGCTGAGCGGGGACTTTGGTCAGTGCTTAGCGAGGGCATGGCCCGAGCCTCCATCATGGGTTCCAACCCTCACAAAACCCTATTGTCACGGTACAAGTGCAAGTCGAGGACAATTGCGATTTGGTTGAATAGATTGATTACAGGGAGAGAAGAGATTCTTAAGGAGATCTATCTTTTAAGTCGGTTGACACTGGTCTGTGCTGGTTTATCAATAATCGTGAATAGCTTCATGAATGAACGCAGGTCACCTGATCTGACTCCTTGACACCTATTCAAACGTTTTATAGAATTATAATAAGTTATTTTATCCTACGCGAAATAAATATAGGTTTACTAGAGTATAGTAATATAACTAACTCGAGTTAAAAACGTAATTCTTAGGAATACTAAAAAAAGTATAAATATAAAATTATAAGATAACCTCTACTATATAGTATAATAACTACTTTTCTAGGGCTTTAATTTAACTATAATAGTATATATTAATATATTCTTAGTATTTATATTAACTTTTTATATTATCTAAGAATATAGTTAACTTATATAATAAATTAAGTAAGAGTAGAAAGTTAGTTTTTATATTAGTTATATACTAAGACTTAACTCTATTATTTTTATCTTATAGTTATAAGAATTAACTTTTTACTTCTTTTTAGATTATAATAGAGAAACGCTCTTATATTCTGTAGCTACAGGTATGGTTAGCAACAGGGTAAACCCCCTTAAAACTCCTATGCTTATTATGTCTGTAACGAAGTGGTACTCGTATAGAGTGTAGAACTTTAAATTTGTATGGTAGACCCTGAATATACATCACGAATCGCTCCCAGTCAAACAGGCTGTTACTTTCTGGTTTCTTCTATTTAAACTCGATCCTCCTCATCTTGTCTGCTAATCTTCTCCTTTCACTGCCATTCAATAGCTAAAAACACCTTCAACTCTAGAATTTCCTCCAAACGATTACAACTTCACGAGCTAAAAATGAAATCTACTATCCTCCTTACCATTCTCGTATCCGTTGCTAGCGCGATCTATACCCCGCTATTTCAGCGGGGTCTTGTTGATCCCAAATTATGTGTGGATGTCGGCCACTGTAACGAGGGCAAGAAAGGTATCAATAATGCCCCGTGTTGCGGGGTAAAATACTACGTTGATCCTGCGACTGTATGTATTTCCCTTGGTTGGTAGCAAGGGGGGAAAAAAGGAGAAGAATGTTTATAGTACTAACTATGTTGTTAGGGCTG